ACTGATTTCTATCTCCCCAGGTTCTTCACAGATTTCTTTCAAGAGATGCTGGAAACTCTAAAACCCAACCAAAAACTGCTGTGCTTAAACAAGAAACGGGAAGTATGGGTCTCCTAAGTTCACAGCTAGAAGTGACTCTGAGTTTGAGCATATTAAAGAGAAAACCTGATACAATGACCTTGATTAGTCCTTTTCTTACTGATTTTTTTCTAACCCTGTCTACAAGATAGACATTAAAAACAAAAAAAAAAAAACAAACCAAAAATCCTGCCCTTCCCTATATGAATTAGTATGTTGCACTATACCACTTGAACAACAGGCATGTGCATAACTCAGTCTGAAGACAGTAACTGTAATGAAGAGAAGCCTCACGAGGGCCTGGTGCACTGTGCTGTGCGCTTCAAGATCCTGGAAGAAAAAGCACATGGTTTTTAGGTGACACTGACATTCAGATAAAGGGTACTTACTGAGTTGGTGCCAAGAGACTTGCAGGTGCCCAAGAGAGTTAGGAGAACCAGCTTGAAATAGTTTTCTGTTCACTCCCACAGAGAAGACCGCATTCCACGTTATTCTCCGTAGGAGTCTCTTGTGCCACAGAAATCACAGTTAAATAAAATTTCTCATTATGTCTGCTTAATTAGGCAGAAGAATTGGTAAACTTATCAAAACATAAGCACAGCCTGACATTTTGATTGCCAATGATCGGCTCCCTCTGAAGCCCTGCTCACACTGTGACTGCAGCAAGATGCAGAAACGCTGTTACCTGCTCCAAAACACATCAATTTTCCTTCTCTTGACTGTGGCTTTGCTACAATCCGCCATCACCCCTTCTGAGTACCTTTGTAGTCAATCAACTCTAAATGAGTATTTGAGGCTAAAGGAGTGCTCCCTAGGTCTCAACCAGCCAGGGGGTACAGCTCCCTCATTTCCAAGCAGCCTGAGCTCAAATCTCAGCCTAGGCTGTCTCCTGTGGCTGACAAATTACAACTGCGCACTACAGCAGCTGAGCAGAACCCTGCTACTCTAACAAGTTACATATGCAAGCCCCCAAGCCCTTACTAAGAGAGCATTAATTACGCATTCTGAACAAACAGCTGGCAAACTAGGTGAGAAACTGGTGTCTGCTGACATTCTGCTCTCATGGTGTATCTCGGTGCAGGACTGTGGGGTAAAGCATCCTATTTCCTTAGGCCAGACTGCGATGTCTCTAGTAAGGTTGCTACCTTACCTCCTAAGAGAGAGGAAACAGCCAGAGCCTGTTGCTTGGCCAGCCCCCAGCCAAAGGGGTAGCAGGAGGAGGGAGCAGTCGTGATTAACAGCTAGGGTGCCTCTGAGCACCTGCAGGACAACAGGCAACAAGAAGTTTGGTTCCTCAGTCTGCACGAAGACTGCCTTTGAAAGTTGGGATGCAAGTCTGGTACCTGGGTTTGCACTCGGTCCTTTTCATTGCTTGATTTACAGTCCCTCTGCACTGGACCTCGGCTGCCTTATGGGGCTACCTTATGGGGCTTCTTAGTGTCCTGGGCAGAGCTGGCCAGGGGCCAGTCCCAGTAAAGAATTTGCATAAGGAAAACTTTTAGAGAGTGGCACAGTTTGATACTAATGGGCATATCATCATGTGTCTATAGGTCTTCAATGCATTTACAGTACACTGGCACTGGAAATATCCTAAAAAATGATGTGCAAAGGGATCAAGTTTTATGTCTTTCACTAAATCAAGGGCCTTCCCTTCACAACCTCAGTCTGACAATCCCCTCCTCTTGTCAGCCTGTCCCCATAAGGAGGGAATTATTCCTGCTGTGTTAATAGTGATGGCAGAGATCACCAGAGCTGGTGTTAACCCTAACTCTAGCAGGAGGCAGTGTGAAAGTTCTGAATGTCTTCTGTCCAATTCAATTGAATCTAAAGCAGTTTTTTATTCCAACGCATCATTCTTTTTATAGCCCCATGTGTTGCAGAGCTTAAAGTTCAGAAAACGTAACTATCAGCTATTGGGGGTGTACGTGTGTGTGAAATCAGAACAGGAAGGCAGGAGAGGCCTGGAACCAGCAGACTTCACAAATGAAACTACATTCTCACTATATCAAGCACACAATAAAACAACCAGCACTGAAATATTTTACTGTTTGACATCACGAGTTTCCAAAAAATTTCACTTCTCAAGAGTTGCTCCTCCTGTCCCTCTTCAGAGTCAGTATTTCTGCATCCAGAGCATGTTCACAAAGCTGGGTAGTCCTGTTCCCTTCCCCTACCCCCAACAGCAGAAAACAGAAAATCTAATAGACTACAAGCTAGAAACTGGCCTGTGGCAGAGCTAAGCCTCAAAGAAAATAATACAGCATAGGGCAAAGAAAAAAAACACAGAGAGGAAAAGAAAAAAAAAAAATCAGCTTAATTTCTTCTCCCCACACATCCTGGATTTTAAATTAAAGAACACTGTCAAAACAGAAAAACAACACCGAGTCTGTTCAATGAATGACCTTAACTTTTCTGGTAGCTTGAAAGTGCAACAGGAGCTCACATCATCACCACTGAGATGCATGTTTCAGGATGCTTTTAGACCTGCTTGGGAACATAACCACAGACAAACCATTTCACCTTTTGTGCTCCTTAGGGGCTATTTGCTACTGGCCTGGCTGCTAGTGCTTCCAGCACACACCGCTCTACTTGCTAAAAAGTGCATCTCAAAAACTTCAGCAAAATGAAAAAGCCTTTTGTCCCAGGGAGTCATTGCATGCTCCGGCCAGTGGGAGAACAACTGGGTAGGAAGGAGTAAGCTCCACTCATTTCAGGAGAGATTTGAATAGTTTATTTTGCCCAATCAAGAGCCCTTCAGCATAATGACACATTCATATACACATATATGAACATTTTTTCTGAAACATTAATGTATAATACATTTTAAATTTAAAATACCAGCTGCACAGGTATTTTTATTTACAAAAATATTCCATACTTAATTTTTTAACTTTGTTATGATGACATAGTTCAGTTCAAGTACATGTAAGTAAAATAACTCTATGCAATCTAACATAGTTGTGTTTGTAACAGTACAGTTTGCAGTTCATACGAAACTATATTTGTAGACAGATGGATTTGCAACCCTACCTAAAATGCATATTCCAGTTATCACCCTCAGAAGAGCTAGTGGGGCTCAGCAAGACTTAACTGAAGAGTAAGTTGCAACGAACAAAAAGAAAGAAAGAAAACACACGTACACACTAAGAGATACATAAACGAGAACCGCTACACATCAAGCATGCTTACCCACAATGGGGCAGTGTTAGAGAAATTTACTGTTTTTACCCTTCCCCCCACCCCATGGTGCTGGTACAATGAAACAGTAGCATAACTAGAAAGCAGCATGTTTTCCTAGTTCTAACCACTACAGATAGCAGAGCTCAGGTCTAAAATAACACAGTACAGCTTATTTACAATTCTGTTTTAAAAGGGAATATTTAAAACATGTTCCCACCCCTCTCCCTTTGCATCACCTGTTACTGAATGGTAGTGGTAATCCACATACAACTCCTTACATGTTTTCAACTGAAACAGTTTAACTTTTGAGTTACTATTTGCCTGGTAAAACAAGTATCAAAGTAACCTACAGTTGTATGACTTAAACGTTTTGTGTGCTTTACATGGAAAACTAAAAGAAATACTGATTGACACCTGACATTTGATTGTTCTATGTTTCTGCCTCTTCTCCCCTTGTCATCTTTTAAAAAATGAACGCCCATCTCTTTAAGCCTAAACTTTAAGGTGCAAAAGAACCCAGAAGCACCATACACTCATCTGGTTTGAAACAGTAATCAAATAGACGATATACAGCATATCTTTTTAGCACATGTAAGAAGAAATTGGCCCAGCTTAATTTAGCTTTTCAATGAATAAAATTGGTTTAGCCAATTCACCTACACCACACCTTTCTTCTGTTTACTTCCTCCCTCCACTCAAACAGCATTAATTTCTGTCTACAAAGCATTTGAAGATTTTGTGGTCACAGCAAAACTACCAACACCCACCCAAAAAGATTCATGTAAGTCATACAGGAAATTGGCTAGAATGAGAACACGTTCAACTGATGAGTTACCCTGCCACTCAGTGAGTGAGGCAAGGTGTTGCCCACCTTCCCCTGCACCAAACCCCAGCTGCTATCTGTGCTCACCTACGTTAAAGCCTGGTAAGAAAGAAGAGGGCACTTCAGCCATATGCTGAAAGTTTTCTCTTGCATGTTTGGTATACAAAAAAAAAAAAAAATCCTGATTTACATGTAAAGAGCTGATGTATAATCAAGATTAATACATCAAGAAAATTAAAAGATTAATACTCAAAGAAAATATTTATTGGATAACTCTCACTTGTTTTGGGGAATTTTAAGAGTTCAAGAAATAAAGCTGAAAAATATCTTTCATGTGTATACCTAAAAAAAAAAATACATATATATAAAACCATAGAAAACCAGTTGGCCACAGACTGCAGCTACTGAGATAACTTTTACATCACATTAGTTTTCCGAGTGCACAATCTGTCCTCTCCTTACTTAGGGAATTGTTAAAGAATGTTCAAAATGGGACGTAAAAATGATTGTTTTCTGCAAAGCAAAATGGGCTATTTGTTTTCATTTCTTAGTAATTTTATCATCTCCATATGAGATATGAATGTATTCATAAGCTTAAAACAACTTCTTCTATGGATAATATACATACTTTAAGTACTTTGACTTAAAAGTTGAACGTAAGTCTTTTTAAAATTAAAGGTAGAAGTGTACATATAAAAATTATTTAAAACTAAAAGTATATTCTTAAGCAGTATGTATAAATATAACAGATTTTATTGTAGTAACTAGTAACAAATGTGACAGTGTTGCAGTAATTTATAAACTGAATGCTGACACAGGATACGTGCCTTTCATTAGAGTCTGTATTGTATATACATATTTTGCTAAGAAAACACACATTCTAAATGATAGTCACATAATTAGCAAATGTGCCTGAAAGTAATCTGTTCTAAAGTCTTTACTGAACGTGTGTGTTTATATACAAATAATGAACCTGAACTGCACAAATGCAGAAACAAAATTAAGGACTAAAATACCATGATTGACTTAAAGTGCAGGAAAAATTCAAGTTTAAAAGTTCAGGTGAGATCAGTGCCATTAAGTAAGCAACAAAAAATAAAAAAGCCAACGATGGAAAAGAGAAAAGGCAAATGAAAGGAAAAAGAGGAAATTAACTTGCTTCCAAAAATCCTCCTTTGGATGTAGCTTTCCAGCATCACCTGCCACACAAGTACCACCTCAGGCAAAAATATTGGCATAAAGACAGACGAGGAACACAGCTATCTATTACTATATTTTATATCTGACTGTTTGCTGAAGAACGAATCACTGGAGATGCCTGTGGTGTAACACTTTCAGACATATTTGGAATACACACATATTTACGCAGACCAGCATTCAAAAGTTACAATTTGGCAGGACTAAGGTGAAAAAAAGCTTCTTTTGTTTACAGTTCCTAATGAGACACACTACATATAAACAGATAGGTAGCAGCAGTTTCTTACACTTCCATCATAAAAATAAAAAAGTAATAGCTCAGTTGTATTTTATAGTTTTCCAGACACCCTAAAAAAGTTTCACACAACTAAAATGCTAGCGAAAAAACCAGGGGAGCTTCCCCCCAAGGATTTCAATATACTTTGCTGTACAAAAGGTGCACCACCAATAGCGGAACAAGACGCAACAATGTGTGTACGATCATTTTCCTTCCACAGAGAAGGAAACAGGAACATTTTAGACAAAAATTGTACATAGCCCCTTTTATTGACCAAGAACCATTTGTGTATTCATCTCATGAGCAATCATTAGTTTTCAAATCCATAAGCATGCTCTGAACATATGCAACAGAAGAAAGATTCACCTATGATAAATTTTATAATACCAAAAAAGCCACTATGCTCTTCTTGTACTGGCAGATGGTCTCCCACTGCCACTTATTTTTTTTGCTTGCTGGTGGTTGTCAAATGTTTCTTGATGAGAAGTACGCCTTCCTTTCAAGCCAAGATCATCGTCCATTGAACCGATACCATGATCTGCTGAAGAGTACTTTTGCCATCCTCTCCCCCTGAGCCTGACCAGACTAATTTTCCAGGATCTGTTGCTCTGAAATATAGTTCACCTTCACCGTGTCAATTAATAATAAGTCATCTCAATTTACATATGTGACAGAACAAAGGGAATAAGTGTCAGCTAGGGTGTTTTATTTTTGGAAATGGTATGGATAGCTGTTTACCTAGTTTTCTCCTACCTGGATTTTTGACAAAATGGAATTGGTTTAAATATGCATTAATTAGACACAAAAAGAAAAAGCGTGTAAAGGCAAAAACTGCGTGGGAAGACAAGTCTAGTAACTGGAGTTAACATTGCCTCAGTAGGTAAGGGATAGAGCCATAAGGAAATCAGAATGCTGCTTGTTCAAATTGTCACATTCTCATTTGTTCTTTCAGCAGTGGACATGGTATGGCATGCCCTCGTACTAAGAACAGAATTCACTTGCCCTTTTAAATTAAGTGTTACTATACAAAGAATCAGAAGATTTAGTGTGTGCTACAAAGCCCAAACATATTTACCTTTCATTTGAAAAATTCATTAGGAACCATCAGTTACTTCAGTATTTTGCATGTGTTGAGTGTTTTGGAAGGTTGCCTTATCTATGCATCTGCAACATCACTTAACAATACAAATATAACCAAGGTTTTGCTTTGGGAATATTCAGAACATGTGCAAAAAAACCCACAAAGGATACGATACTTGGTGAAGCAAGCCCAAAAGAATAACTTCAAACAATGCAGATCTACCTGCTTCTAAGTACTCCCTTTTATAAAATAAAGTCAGTCAGTAACTATTACTGCTTTGAGGAAAAAAGTCTAAATAAACTTTTGAAATACAAACATTTATCTTAAGGAATTATCTCTTTTTAAAAGAGCTCTTGTCATTCACACTGTTACAGCTTTAGTGCAGCAGCCATTAACAAGTTAGCTCAGCAATATTGTTTACCTTGCCCAAACAGAACATTATTTCATGAATTCCTGAAGTTTTAGTTGACACTTACCATGGCCCACACTGAAAACACTGCTTCAGAGACTAAATCAAAACTTTAGCCGACTGCCTTTAGTGCTGGGTGGGGCCGAGATAGGTACTTGAAAATAGCTCTACTAGCAGGAATTTTCTAAACAATATACTGACAACTATCAGGATATTAGATGCTTGCCAATATTCATGCATCAGCACCTCCACAGAGTGTAAAACTTTGAAAACCTGAGTCCAAGATTATCGGATTTCATAGTAAAGGACTAAAGGGGCATCTAGAACTTGAGTTTTAAGCAAAACTATCGCAGCTATTTTAATTAATGGCTGTAAAGATACATTCTGTTAAACATTTATAAAAATTCACAGCATGAATGGAACCCACAGCCAATTCTAAATGTTATACAAACTGAACCAATAGCTATTTTTGGCAAAAGAATAATATTTAACTGAACAGAAATTGAAGTATTCTTACCACAATGAAGATGTTATCACATTTCACAGACATAACACAAATGAAAACTCCCAGCATGACACATTCCAGTCATATTATTCACTTGACTTTTTTTAATGCAAAAATTGTGTTTTCTCTTGTTTTCCACTTCACAGAATAGGATGTGAATACAAGAATACTAGATCAGGGGTCCAAGAAAAGACTATGCACAAGTCAACTATGTATACAATTTTCAACAAGACATCTTCCAAGTTTCCAGCTTTCCCGATGAAAGAAGTGACAGCAAACTCTTCCTCAGCAATAATGGTAAATATAGTGAGTCCTAGAGAGGGTAAGAGTAAGTCAGCTACTGTCCAGCAAGACAAACAACTTCATTCCAGCTCTTGGACCCCTGATTTATTGCCTCTCCTCACAGGAGCATATAACACTGGCAGCAATTACAATAGCACAAAAACTTTTGGCATACGAAATATTAACACAGGACTGACCCTGCATTGCCCCTGCCCATCTCACACTACATTTTAACTTTTACCCTCTTTTCCATACGTTCTGGTTACCTTCTCTGTTCCAACTCTCAGCTAATCACTCAAGAATAAGAAACACTCAAGTTTGCTTTTTGTGTGTGTTTCTTTTAAATATAAAGCTCCTCAGTTCACGCCATGACTGAGGTAAAACAGTGTGTTATTTGTGCTAGGAAACACAGTATCCAATGGTGAATACTCCTTGAAATTTCAATGGTCCTGCCAAAATTAATGAAAACCCAAGATTTTTCCATCAGGACAAAATTAAACAGATGAAATTGATGAGCTCATCAGAATTGGTACCACTTCTTGTCTTTGTACTTCAACATCATCTGAAAAAACAAAAAAACATTTCTAATTACTGTTTCTGTAACATACCAAGAAGCACAATGATACAAACAAATCATATGCTTACAAAGCAGTATGAGCAAAGGGATTTTAATAAAGTGTCTCAAAAGTGCAACAACTTTGGTGAACAGCAAGGATTTAGCATGATGAGTTTTCTAATGGTAGCATCACTGCTGATGATTTGGCCTCAAAATTAATTATATCTCAGTAATGGGAACTGAGATGCACTTTTGGAAGTCTACATATTACTCAGACAGAGGGTATGCTCTAGACCAATGAGCCACAAGGCAAAGCTGTTTTAATTAATACTCAATTATTAAGAGTAATGATTAATAGGTAAAACAGACCTAAGAGGTCCTTTATCCATGTTAGTTCATTCCCTTTACATACTTCTGACATGCCTTTGCATAAACTGGTTACTTGCAAAACATTTATTTGATAAAGAATCAGATTAATGTTCAGCATAACATGCAACAGACTCACCTCATGAGCGTGTTTAGAGAAAGAATCAGCACTGTAAAGCATAGCTGCAGTTTTTTCTTCCAGCTCTCCTAGTTTCTGTCCTCTTTCATCTAGTGCCAACCGGGCTCGTGCTAGTTCACCAACTACGCCAGATGCTGCTCCTTTGACACCTTCAATACCCCCAGGCCCTGGAATATGCTGGGCAAGACTCCTTGATGCCTTCCCAGCTGCTGATTCTCCAACTAGAGGCATTTACAAAGCAGCAAGAACACAATAGTGAGGTTTTCTACCATTTATACACAAACACTAATGTAACTAGTTTATAAGGAGGTGACATTTCTTTGTACGGACACTGAACACCTAATCATAGGTGTGACTACCAGCAGTACTCATTACTCAATATTACTAGACATTATTTAATAAAATTAAGATTTTCAAACATATTTCCAAGTTTTCCAGACAGGTTATAAAATAATAACCTTTCCACAGCTCGAGTGTGAAATTAAAACTCTTTCACCAGTGCTGACATCAGTCATCAACAGAACTGTGCTGGTGGTTTTTAGCAACATAGCTGAACTGAACTATCATACCGTTCTATCCTTCTGCTTGCTAAGGCATCTCTGCATAAGTCAAATGATGAAAAAGAATCTAGCAAATGCACTGAAGTTAAGATGGAGTTTTAATTTTCTCACTATCCAGCATAGTGCTCTCCAGGACCAGCCCCTTTCAGTTTAACAAGATTAAGAAATATCATGGTCAGTACTATGTATTCCATAAAGATGAATAAAAATAAGATCAGTTGTCCCACTTCTCGTTTTATAATCCACTCCTGAATAAATGAGGTAAAGGAGCCTGTGAAGAAACAGTACCAAGCATTTCTGATCTTTTGGTAAGGTGTACAACACAAAAGCTATGAAAAGGTATTTGTCATCCCTTTTGTTACTCTCCTCTCTGCAAATGTAGTGTTCTATTGTCACAGGTTAATACATTTCTCAAGGATCACTGGCTTCCTTAGGCAGAAATACCAAAAAATAATGAATACAAGAAACTTACAGAGTTCTTCTCTGTCGAGTGACTGTGCCCCACCTCCAAATAGGCCTTTAAAGAACCCCCTGTTTGGTGCTTCTGGTGTTTCTACAGGAGTGAAGAGCTCACCCAACATTTCCTTTACAATGAAGAGACACAACAAAGCATACATTATTCCACACAAATTAATGGAATATTCCTTAAGGAGCAAACTTTGTGGATTTGAATTTCAAAATTAACATGCTTTAATAGGCATCTGCCTTTGCAAGGTAACTTAGGAAATAAAAAATAAAAACACATTAAGAAATCTGTCCAAACTATCCATCTGATAGTTGCAGGTTTATAGCGCATGTGATTCTGTAGTGAAGAAACCGGTTCAAGTAAACCTGTATTTTGGGCAACACTCCTGATTTTGTTCTGTTCACATTATATCTACAAATAATCCTGTGTGGTACCACAGGAGACCTTACAGCCTGCATCTCTGCTGTTTCAGTATTCTATACTACTTCCAAGCTGGAGCATGGTGAGAATCTTTAATGTTAATATCCCTGAAATATAATAGCTTTCTTAAAGTACCCCAAGATAGCATTCTTCAGTTATGTCAGCATGCACGTCCACCAGCATCAATTGAACAAGGGAGTTTTTGTTAACTGTGCATGTTGAGCAAGGAAGTTTCCCACTGATCAGAAAGGAAATTTAAGAAACTGTTTGAAACACAAAAGGATGGATGAAACAGTAAATTTAAGAGTAGAAGTGATTCATCCTCAATCAGACTCTACATTGAGGGAAAAACAGAAAATCGAAACTCAAAAGCCAAAGCTTTACAACAAATTAATGTAAGCATTGTGAATCCAGAACTAAGAACCTCAGAGTATATCTAAGAAAACTGTTTTTTAAATTCATTACCTGAAGATTTTCACATGTTTCTTGACTGTAGGTGAGCCTCTGTATTTCAGTTGGTGATACAAGATAGAGTGCTTGTCCATTATTGGTGAAGCAGAATGTTCTGGCTATCCGCATATTGGTGAGTGGCAGGTAATATACATCCAACAATGGCCTTAAACTTGGCAAACTTAAGAAAAAGAATTAAAAAGTCCCATTAAATATAGCAGGATTGTCTACTATTAGACCAAATGGCTCATTTTTAACACCATAATACATTATTTTTCTCTTCACTATCGCCATAAGTGCCATACAAACAGGGTATCATTTAATGTGATTACAAAATATCTCAAAACATAAATGAGACTTTCCAAAGTAGCACCTCAAAAGTGAAATTTAAACAAGTGCATCACAGATGTGTTTAAAAGCATCACTTAAATGATATCCTCTGTGTGTATATCAGATTAATTTTAAAGCATTATTCAATAGTTAATAACAAAGTATTTTGATAAATATCTACCATAATTTTATAATTCAACATCCTGCCTTTCCTCTCAGGTGAAAAATTTATCTTTGACTAAAAATACCATTCTAAAAGATCTCTCTTCAAGAACACTTGGAAATACACAGTGCTGTGCTTTCAAAGGAAAACAGAATGAAGTATCTTCAAAAAATCTTACTATGTCCACATTTTTGTCTGACTGTATGTGTAAGATGAAGTCCTCGAAGCAAAGTTTGCTTACCTTGTATTTTCTGAATCTGTACATGTAACTGCAGTACTTACTGCATCGAGCTACTGAAGGACAGGCATAGCACACTCAGGCTTTAACAATGCTCTTGCTAACAAACATTCCTCTCAAAGTAATAATAAATGCAAGTAAGAAGTGACTAACTACCTGATGTCCTGAAAAATAGAACCCAAAATAAACCACTGTCTCAAAAACAGCAATTGTGAAATTTTTGTAAAACACAGAATAGTTAGGGTTGGAAAGGACCTCGAGATCATCTAGTTCCAACCCCCCTGCCATGGGCAGTTACACCTCACACTAAACCATGTGGGTTTGAACGAGGCACGGTCCAACCTGGCCTTCAACACCACCAGGGATGGAGCATTCACAACTTCCCTGGGCAACCCATTCCAGTGCCTCACCACCCTCACAGTAAAGAACTTCTTCCTTGTATCCAATCTAAACTTCCCTTGTTTAAGTTTGAACCCGTTATCCCTTGTCCTATCACTATAGTCCCTAATGAAGAGTCCCTCCCCAGCATTCCTATAGGCCCCCTTCAGATACTGGAAGGCTGCTAAGAGGTCTCCACGCAGCCTTCTCTTCTCCAGGCTGAACAGCCCCAACTTTCTCAGCCTGTCTTCATATGAGAGGTGCTCCAGTCCCCTGATCATCCTCGTGGCCCTCCTCTGGACTTGTTCCAACAGTTCCATGTCCATTTTATGTTGAGGACACCAGAACTGCACACAATACTCCAGGTGAGGTCTCACGAGAGCAGAATAGAGGGGCAGAATCACCTCCTTCAACTGGCTGGTCATGCCCTTTTGATGCAGCCCAGGATATGGCTGGCTTTCTGGGCTGTGAGTGCACACTGCAGCCGGCTCATGTTCATTTTCTCATCAACCAACACCCCCAAGTCCTTCTCCTCAGGGCTGCTCTGAATCTCTTCTCTGCCCAACCTGTAGCTGTGCCTGGGATTGCTCTGACCCAGGTGTAGGACCTTGCACTTGGCATGGTTAAACTTCATGATGTTGGCATCAGCCCACCTCACAAGCGTGTCGAGGTCCCTTTGGATGGCATTCCTTCCCTCCATGATTTACAAAAGATTAGTGCAAATGCGCCAACACTTACACACATACATTAAGCAGGTTTTGCTGCAGAAATCATCTCCATTAATATCATTAATTCTAGAAACTAAAAAAGGCAGTAAAGGGGCAAAGTGAAGTCAAAAGCAATGAAAAAGCGGACTGTAATTGCAACAGTGAGTGGTTTTGGTTGTTTTTTTTTATGTTACTGAGATTTCTAAATGTTAAACTTGCGTTTTACTGATTTTGAATTGCCTCTTAGCAGGGAACTTCAAGTATGACAAACAAAAGAAAGGAGAACTGGTAGCATGACTTTGGATGCAAATTCTACAGGTAAGAAATAAAAAGCAGTATTCTCTTATAAGCATGTCACCCAGGAACAACACTTCTGCCATGCATGTGTCAAAACTAAGAATATTCCCAAGAGTGAGTTAGTAACAGGGGAGTGCTTTGCTTCAGACTGATGGAAACATAGAACATCCTTACAGCTTCAACACAAAACACAAACCCAGATCAGATATGACAAGCATGATATCCATGATAGCATTTTCATAGTATCAACCAAATCTGTAACAGAATCTTAAGTCCCATCTAAACATGTATCAGTAGGCAAATATTGGGCATCTTGGATGTGATACAATCCTCTGCCAGCTTTACACAAGCAGAACATTAAGTCCTGTTCCTAACAACAATTAATTTTTATGAAATGGAGCTAATCCTTGGAAGTTCAACTTCCCTACAATGTACCTTAAAGATTATCTAGTTTCAACCCCCCTGCAATAGGCAGGGATACCCTCCACTAGACCAGGTTGCTCAAAGCCCCATCCAGCCTGGCCTTGAAGAATTCCAGGGATGGCAGCCACAGCTTCTCTGGGCAACTTGTTCTGATGTCTCACCACCCTCATAGTGAAGTTCTTCCTAATACCTAATCTAAATCTATCTCCTTGTCCCCCTGTCACAACATGCCCTTGTAAAAAGACCCTCTCTGGCTTTCCAACAGGCCCCCTTTAGGTACTGGAAGGCTGCTCTAAGGTTTCCCTGGAGCCTTCTCTTCTCCAGGCTTAACTGGCCAAACTCTTATCAGCCTGTCTTCATAGCAGAAATGCTCCAGCCCTCTGATCATGTTTGTAGCCCTCTGGACGCAATCCAACAGGTCCACATCCTCCTTATGCTGGGGGCCCCCGAGCTGAACACAGTGCTCCAGGTGGGGTCTCACAAAAGCAGAGTAGATGGGGAAAATCACCTCCCTTGACCTGTTGAACACTCTCGATGCAGCCCAGGATACGGTCGGCAATATATACTATTATACTACTGTATTACAATTCATCTTGCCTCTACAGCTTGAGTTTCAGGCATTTAAGACAGGAACAAGCTACACAACAAAATAGTAAGCTTGAGGCATGAGCGTGATGTAAACAGCTGCACAAAAATATGAGTTATGGTCAGGTACCAGCTGAAAGCCTAACTGAAGGCATTTTTTTTCCATCAGGGAATAAATTCACCTTTGAGACAAGCTTCTTCAACTCATGGACTTGTATCACACATTTAGATCTCTCTCTTGAATCAGGGTAGCTCCTAAACTTGTAAGCACTCTCATGTGTTAAAGGCATAACTAACAGGAATGCATACTCAAAATTATGCAGACTCAGGTGTTAGAGGTTTATCAAAACTGAGTGAATGTAGATTTATCTTTTTTTTAGATCACATCCTTATGGAAAAGGAAGCGTTTTATCTAGCAGAAAACTTTTTTTTTTAAATATTTAAGTTATTATCAAACTAGTCTTACCTAAAAGTCATAATATGTCCATTGGCACAGAAACATGCAAGGCAGATACTGTTACTCAATGATACTATGTCTCCACGAAGAACAAAAGAAGTCTCTGTTATGTTTTGTTTATAAATACAGTTCTGGGATGGCAGCGAGATAACTTTTGCTTGCTTTTCTGAACATATCACTGCATATTGGTTTTCACTGATTTCCTGAGAGGAAGAGGGGGACACTGAGACAGGTCGTCGCTTTTTCGATTTATCTTTTTCATCTTTATCTTCAGGAACATTGTGTTCTCTCCAGGGTTCATGTGCTGGTGGGACCAAAGATCCTGTTGTATCCAGAAAAGCCATTCTCAAGATTGCCCCTTTTAGCCTCAGGATGGTTCCTAGAAAAAAGAAATTGAGTGCATTTCTAAAACAGTTCTAAATTATCTTTCAGCTACAGAATATTTCTTTAGAAGCTAGCACAATGCAAAGAAACAAGAATGTAGGCTTGCCTCTGTAGCAAAATAACATACCAAAACCTTCAGACCAGTGAAGCACATTCAAGAACATGTAGGCATTCAAGAAAATGTTAAACCAGTTTTCAAGGGTTAAGTGCATGCATACTGCTCTGTTAACTTCAATGGAAATATACACATTTATTAAGAGTGCCAAGCTAGAATGCATATTTGTTTTCAAGTTCAGTGTCACAAATGCAACTCATTTCAATCTCTGAGGAGGACACAGGATGGTTGATATAAATGTCATTAGTCAAAGGTGAGACCCTCTTTTTTTCTTCAGTATAGACAGGTTCAGAAACAAGCAACACGCAGGATTTTTTTGCCCTGCAGCTTCTGCTTGAATCCATTTCTCTAGCGTAAAATGAAAAAGAAGTTTTCTCTCCTCACTGTTTAAATCACTGTCTCTGTAGACAAAATATTAAGCTAATAAGTTTCTTAGTTTACTTGTTCACATGCAAGTAAAAACCAAACATTTGCTAAGTGCACAAAAAAAAAAATCATACACATAGCAGCATCTTCTAATGCTTATGCTGCAGATCCAGAGATAAAAATTATTATCCAATCCGCAGCATTGCCTTTACTGTTTTAGGAAATCTGAATACTACTGCCAATACCATACTTGAGAAGCACAAATCACATATATAGTCTAGAGGCCACACTACTCCTAATCACTATGTCAATCATATAGCATTACCATTTGCATGTCCTGATCCATCTGCGAGAGCAAAGTGGAACACAGTAGTACATTCTGTATGAGACAGTTGTAGCAGGAAAGCTAACTCTATGCCTAACAGCATATTCAGCAAACCATTAATACAGACAGCAACTGATTCAGTTGCAATTATATCAGAAAAACAAGATACAAGACCTCCCACTGCAATCCAAAGGAATATTTAATCACTAATTAAAGCTAGTTGTTCAATACATAACCCTTAACTTGTATTCCCTTTTTATGATGCGGGAAAGCTCAAAGTCTCCTACCTCATGACTAAAAAAGTAATAGACTTAAGCACTTGAAATATTCATCTCTAATCCCATCTCTGTTTAACAATTACCAGGAACTATATTAAGGTCAGCAAACATACTTTTCTCAGCAAGTATACACTAAAGTGGTGTTTTATATTACATGATATCATATTTTCAACTTCACAACTTTAAAACACTGGTAATTAAGTAACCAATCTAAATTGTTAACCTCAGTAGCTATATTAATGGTGTATATAGTAATTCTTAATTAACCTATTATTAAGAAAAATAGTTTCCTTATAAAATTATGAGGAATGTCAACAAAACATTATCAAAGTATACTTTAGCCCATTTGCTTTGTACATACCACTAGGAGAAACAATTACTGGCTGAAGAAGTCTTTGCTCTCCTCCTGGGGGTAAGTTCAGTACAATGACAAGCACTGTACCCAGCGTGGTCCCAACCCACAGGCAAGGGGAAGGTGATGTATCATTCTTTCTTGTGAAAGTCTCACAGAAATGGAGAGCTGAAATTGCCTCACGTGACTCTTTATCAATGCTAGTTACACTAGAACTCCGGGATCGACTGAAAGAGTTGTCTTTGACATCTGAAAATAAATCATTATTAATTAAAAAGAATGGCAAAATGCAGGGTTTAAGAGAATTCAGAACCTTGTGGTTTTCGTTTTTTTTTTCTTTAGCATGAAGTATGTACTGACTACCTTTCTATAGTCAGTCCTGTATTCTTCCTATTTCCTTTAGGCCTCATTTTTAACACTGTATTCTGAATATCAAGTGCCCAGTCTTTTTTTTTGCAGAGGTTGCCATTAGGCAATTGTCTTGTTATGTGTGTTTCTGTCTTCTTGGGACAGAGAATAAAAACTAAACAGGACTCCTCCTTTATAAAAACTGAATTACAAACCTCTCTGCCAGTTAGTTCATTGATCAGATTAAGAAATACTGCCTTCCATGGAACATGGTTAGTAATCTTGAGGAGACACAACTGTTTTACTTTAAGAAGTGCAGCAATATCCAGACAGCAGGGTATCATGCAACCAATAATGACTCAAGATAATACTATCTCACTTTAGAAAACTGTATGGAGGTGGTCAGACAGGTTATTTTCACATATCCAAACTTTTAGGAAAAGAAACATCAAATGCTAACAAATGCCACCTGGCACTGGTATATAAAACTGAATACTGTACCTAGTGACAGAAATGGCATTAAAACCTTTCAGGTCATCCTGCTCACTGCTTAGCAAATAAGGTTCTTGTAAAAGAGAGTGAATTTTAACATTAACAAAGCTCAAGCCAGTACATATGTTGCTCCATTTAGTTGTATGCTCTCTCAATGTGAGGTGATGTTAACAAAACAGCATGTGTGAATTTATCTGTGCATTCATGAATTAATCCTTCAATTCCTTCACTCATCATTCCAAAATTTTAGCATAAGACAAACCTTACTGTAGAAGTTTGATGCAATATTTATCATGACTTTGAAAAACTAAGTTACTGTTTTGGATCTCTGCGCAGGTAAAAAATGCGACTGGTATCTTTAAAGCAGGATTAAAGGCTGAAGAACAACATCTACCCACATACTTTCTGGAAGCAGCACTATGCTAATTCCACTAGACTGTTTCCACTTTGAAGAAAGAACATCTAATACGCGTTTGAAGAGCATACAAACTAGATTTCAAATGACTAAATACAGACATCTACTCAGCAGAAACAATCTGTCTTCTCAGATTTGTCTCATTCAAAAATCGACAGAAAAATTATTGTCCTACTGAATTTTAGCTGTCAAATGTAAAAAATGGATTACTGAAAGAAGCTAGATCGATCACTCAGATGTTGACATTCTAGGTTTCCACATTAAAGGAAAAAATAAATCTAGAGTAAAACAATGAAAAACATAATTTGCTTTTATAATTCTTCGTATGACAACAACATCTTAAAATGTTTGTTTCTTCAAGCTTGAATATTTACTAATAAAGATTTTTCAGCTCTAACATGGATTAAGCAGCCTGAATATAAGCATACATTAACTGCAAAAGGCATAAAATTCAGTGTGCATTCATTGAGTTGCATCCAGTTGAGTATTTGAAGAGTATGTGTACGTATTCCAGAAGGATTGGAAAAATATCTGTAAAAATTAATTTTCCAGACAATATGGGCATTGTGGAGAGGGGACAACTCATCTGTATAACTGCTTTAGTGCATATTATTTATCCTGATATCAATAAAGAATCTATGTGGGTTTTTTAACAGGTTAGTTTCAGATGAAGACGAAGGAACAACAGTGTGATGACCCATTACACACCATTTCACTAGAAGGATGGGAAGATAAATAAACCAAAAAGATAGGACCTAGTGGTAAGGGTACCTTAATAACCTGGATTACAATATTGAAAAGCAATGGCATAATGCAGACTAGAGAATGATCAAGATAACTGCTGTTTTAAGAAGTAGAGGACAAATACATAAGCACATATTTAGATTTTTGTCTTGGATATTTAGGGAGAAAAAGGGATAGGTTAAACATCTAAAGACAGAAAAGTGATCTGAAAAAATGAGATCATGGACGAGTAGATTCAAGGAGCTATGAAAGAGAGAAAAAATGATAAGCATAATGAACTTTGGAGAAAGGCAGTTCAGTTGGCTCCTTGAGCCAGGAGATATGGCCACATGAGTGAAATAAAAAAAAAAAAACAAACCAAAACCCAACAACAGCAACAACAACAAAAAAACAACAAAAACCAAAAACCAAAACCAAACACAAACTAGCAAACAAGAAACCAAACCCACAAGCAAGCTGACAATCTTTGAAGAACACTATGCAAAAGCTTTCCCACTAGGAGAAAAGACAGAAGTAAAACAAATTAAAAGAAGAAAATGATAATTGCCTAAGGAATTTATTTACAGGTCTGAAAACCTGGAAGAATTTTTACACAGAAAAAAATGAGATATCTAAGTGCAGATATCCACACACATGAAAAGTCAAGTAAAACCCGTCAAAGGCTGCTACAATTTAGAAAGTACAAACTGTTTTGTATGATTCCGTGTGATGACAAAAAAACCACCAAAACACCTGAAACCCAAAAAAACAAATATCCTCAAACAACCAAAACTAACCCCAAAACATTATTTTGGTAGAAGGAACACCAAACATTAAATTATGAAGAAAATGCCAAAACTTTCAGGATTGGAAAATGCTCTTAGCATTCTCTTTTTTCCAGTCTTCAATAGGAAAAAAAGAACACTTCTAAGTACATACTACTGTCAAAGAACTGGGGGTAAAACAACAGTAAAATTAGAATGAATTGGGTAATATTTAAATACAAACACATTCCAGTTTGCAAAAAATCACCCTACACTGCAATCATCTCTAAACCATTAGTAAACATAGTGAGGAAGAATAAAAACATTGAAAAAACAAATATTTCTGCTCTTTTGTGCCAACAAGGCCACAGTTAAATCCCTCTAAGCAAGAGATTTAGGAGATGAGGAAAAATTCCAAGTCCTGAGATTAACAGAAGCCATCCTAGATTTAGACATCACAACCTGAGAAAGGACTGAATTTCGTGAGAAAAATCTGCAAAAATGAAGATTTGATGACAGCTTCCAACAGCATAAGACAGATAAAAAAAAAAAAAAATAGGGAGTACATGTTATCCCTGTTCATTGTGGAAAGGACATGGAAAAGTTAATGTGGAAGCAAGGAAGATTGATTAAGTAACAGGAAATCTGTCCGACTATAAAACACTGGAACTTTCTGTCTAGGTTTTTTCTAAAAACTTATTTATTGGAGGCTTATGAATGGATGAGAGGTTAAACTATCAGACATCTGGATCCTTGCCATAGCAATGGATTAAAGGATCTCCGAGGATTCCTTCCAACTTCACATTTCCCTGAGTGAAGCAAGCTGTAATGGTAAACTGCAAGTCAGGGTGGTCTAACTCAGTTTCAGGATATCCCAGCACCATGGACTCTTTCCTTGCTCATAGCAGTAGTTGTCAGATACAGAGTCCTGCAGCTGCCAGTCTGACTGGGGTCTATCTTCTGCCGGCGTTGTGGCAGCTATCCTGCTGCACGAGGGGGAACAAGCTATGGCAGGCAGAAAGCAACTTTCGCATTCAGGCTGCATGTACTGTCGTAGGTCTACAACTGTCCCTCATCAACTTGAGGGAACAAGACAGGGGAGGCTGGATCTGATCTTCAAGCTGGCAGTAAAAGTACTAAAAATAAAATCATAAATCTACTCATTTTTTACGCTGTTTTAGTTCTGCAGTATAATGAACTTTAGTACTACAGACTTTACAACTGAACTGCTTCTTATATAAAAAGTTACTGTGCTCTTTCAAGAAAGATTAAATTCTCAGAGAGGTCATCCATGCAAACAGCTCTATATTATTTTCATTTAGACAGAGCAGTCACAAGACAATTAACATCTGTAAAACTATGCACATCCGTTTATTGATTAGAACACAACATATCCTATTATTCTTAGATATTTATTTTTTCAATTAAAATGTATCAGATGGTTTTAAATAGGCAGCAATCTCCACTATCTGCTTAGTCATGCTTTTACTATCATAACACTACTGATAAAGTGAGTGACAGATGTCCCAAAATTATGACGAAAGTGCGATAAGCCATGTACAAGGACAGGAGGCTTACCTTATGATGACAGGAATAACTTTTTGTACCTGAGAGCCCCCATAAAGAGTGGAATTAAAATTTTAGTTCTACACTTCGGATAAATATAGCAAAGTCACAATTATACATGATTTAGGATACTAACGTACCCACATTCTGTAAAACAGTTTTAGTAAATATAAAATCAACTATGTAAACTTACCTAAATCAGGCTTTAACTCAGTTGGCAAACTTAGCTTCCTGGACATCTTTGCTGAAAAGTGAAGTATATCTTTTTTTTAAAAAAGAATAAACATGATTCTGCAGGCCTTTATTTGCTTCTTCCCCAATACTTAATGTATCATTGTTTATTACATTAATTGAAGTATTTAACAGGATTTCTACTAAAGCAGGGCCTCACTTCCACAAGGGAGGGGTGCAAAGTAAAACCTGGAAGATACCAAAATCCCCAAATACAGCATTTTATGACTTTTGCCAAGCTTCATTTTTCCTCAGGCTTTAAGCGGAACTTGCTGGATCAGACGAATTTTGCTTTGGCTCAACCTCAAGTTTTATCTCTTCAGGTGTGAGGACAGAATACAGACTCTTGGCTATTGCAAGAACATGCACTTAAATTTGCATAAAGTTAACATTCCATCCCCTTTTCTCCTGTACTACTTCCTGATCAAACTTGAGATACTGAAAATAGAGAAAAGATGAACTTTTAATTATGCTAAAACATTAATGAACATGTGTAAAAAGTTAGTAATCTGAGATGCAACCTGCAACCTTAGAAGAATGAATATGTTATAAAGAATAATTATGAAGTCAGCAGCATACAAACACTTGCAACACTGTAAACAAAAATAGTAAAATTTTGATAATATTGCTGAAGCAAAATAATAGAACTTGAACTCATCCCTTCCTTGGAAAATTTAAAATGCAATAAATGCTGCTAAAATAAAAGTAACCAGTAAACTAGTAGCCATATAGCCATCTTCCATCCTTTTTTTCAACAATTACCAGAGAAGGAATAATTTTGATGTAACTTTACTACACCAGGGATAGACTGAATTTATTCCCAGCCATAGGCTTGAAGTCTGATACAGCAACTAATTCTTCACTATCTTGTAAAGGTAACTCTTTTCTACCTAAAGTAGATGTTGACAATAGCTTCATAATTCTAGGAGCACCTTGTAATGGATACCAATCACAAGGCAGCCTGAATCTTGCTGTTCCTCTCTGCTAAAAATGAAGTTTACTCATTCTAATTATCCTTTTAACAGAAATAATTCAATTTTCTATATATCCTGAAGAACAGCATGTGATGTAAAGTTACTTCTGCTCCTTCAAAAAGTTAAACACTTCATTGCATCATCAATTATGCTTATCAATATTGCAAATCCTAGTTATCTGAATAGTTGAACAGTTTTATTCCTGTCATACATCATAAAAATTTGAGATTAAGACTCCAGAAATAATCTTCTTATTTCCTTTATGTGTCAATGTTACAAAGTATATTCTATTTAAATTAAATTGAAATTACTTACTCTCAGAGTGAAATGCTAGTCACTTAAACTTACTTTAGTGCAGGCTGAAATTGAAAAGGCCAGCCTGACTACATGTTTTCTATCCTCAACCTTGCATAGGCACTGGCATCTGAGGCCAAAACTCATCTTTGTAAGGTTTCTGCCAAGGATTATCTGCAATAAGAACAACTTCCGTTTCAGATCAGAGCTCAGGTATACAAACAGAAAACTGTGGTAGAAAACAGCACTAGTGACCAGAAGCCCATGTTTCTGCTGTCAGCTTGAACTTGTATCAGCTTGAAAAGAGATCATGAAACCTCATCTGAAATTGTGAATTACAAATTCCCCATAAGACTTGTTTTCTGTCTTACAGGTATAAACTACAAAAGCTAAGATATTGAACAAAAGCTCAATTATATACACAAAAAGTAATGCGAGTTATTTTTACTTTTCACATACTTCACCATATGTGAACACCAGCAATAATTAACCTCCTTAGCCATCCTGAAGACCAGAATGGTCACTTTTAGCTTCTCAAATAGAAAAACTTAAACACGGAAGTTTAAAACCTTGGAGAAAAAAAGGCAAAAAACCAAACCAAACCAAAAATCCAGCCAAAAAATCCCTAGGTAATATAGCAGATGACAGCAAGTACAGGCCAGTGGGTTGGATTCTAAGAGTCAACTACAAGTTTTAGTTTTTTATTCTTTCACTAGGCCAGCTGTGTGAACTTACTGAAAAGGCAAAACAAATTTGTCAGACATCATTTTCTACGAACACTGAACTATGCCTCATTAATAGGACGACAGGGCTCATGAACTGTTAAAAAGGATGTCATCGCTAGAAATTGTGAATTAATGTGATATGCAAAAAAAAAAAAAAACCCACACCACATTTCAAAGCATACATTAATGTGTCAAACCCTTCAGTAGTTCAAATGTAAATAGGAAACAAGAACCAATTTAAATAGCAGCAGTGCCATCTTGTGTTTAAAGAAAAAAGTGACTAAAGATGCCTTAAGAAAATGGGAGTACTTCAACAGCTAAGCCATTTTTACTTCATATAAAATCCCAAACTATACTTGTATTCATATCTGGCTTATGGTTTACGATAGTTTTGGAAAAAACTATGCCTCAGATGAAAGACAGCAACATGCTAGACAACTTATACAACACAGAAAATGAGAGAAATGAAAGATAGGATGAAGAACTACAAAGAGCACTCATGATTTTTTGCATTATTTTTACCGCAGACGTACAACAAGGTAAGGTTGATGGTGACTACTCCTGCTGGATGTGGCTGACCTCAAGTAGTAGCTGACAGAGTTTAATATGTATCAAGGTGGTATCGGTTGCTGCAGCATTTACAGCCAACACTCTCTGCAGATGGTGTGAGACAAGGAGACAGAGACTTGAAAGCCGTTTCACTCCTCCTGGCACACTGCTGCTCAAAGCAACAGTGACTATTTTGCCTGAGTTTAGGCCTACATTTAATAGTCCTCTAAATCAGAAAACCTAGAGTCATACACACGTAGACACATATTCTTTCTGTTGCCAATATATATAATTTAAGAAGTATCAGGAAAAAGCATGATATTGGAGAACTGTCCAAAAATGACATTCAGCATTCTTGGAAATTTCTCATAGGTAAGGCCTGAGGGGGCAGGTGTTAAAATACGAAAAGTTACCTTGGCATAGTGTGTTATATTGCAGGTGCAGCCAATTCAATGAAGAAAATCTGAAGGCTGCGAAAAAACTAACAATAGGAAGCTGTGGCTTAAAAGTAATAGTTATGTATACTGGCAGTGGGTTTTCCTGAGCCAATGCTCTACAACATATAGCACATCAGTTTGAAAGCTGTAAAGTGATTTATCAACTATTCCTTAAGGAAACACTCTAAAACCTTTAAAAAAAACCAAACCACCTTTAAAAAGCTTTTAAAATTATAAAGGAGACAAGAGTCTTGGTGTTTTGACAGATAAGAGTACAGTTTACATAAAGCCTATTTAATTTCACATTTCATGAGAAATAACTTAGCACCTTAGAATTTGTTAGGCATAGCAGTTCCCAACTTACTCCGTATTTGACAACTACACAGAAGTGAAAGACTTAACATTACCAATTAACAAGACACTTAGAATTGACTATTGTACTGGTGAAAGTACAACAGATTATCAATGCTGAAATCTAAATATAAGAGTAATAAAACCAATTTATATGAGAATGTAAGGAGAGATGTACTGAGATACCCCAAATTAGATCAAAGTATTAAAACCACAATGACTAGCACTGCTTGAAAAAAAATTAAGTGTACACTTAGAATGTAACAAATGCAAGAAATCTGATGTCAATAGTAACGGCAGCAACTACAGAAGTTTGCATTAAAGCTACTCTGCTTATATCTACCTACCAATATCATTTGCATTTGTTTCTGAATTTGCAAACTTCAGAAAATAAATAAAAACAATTTTACTGAAAGGTATTTCAGCTGTACCCTACTGGAACAGTTAATGAAGGTCTTAAGAGTCTACAACATTTTGCATACATCTTTACTAAAGGTTCTTCCAGAAATGGATGTTACAATACCTTGTAACATCTGACTTGATTCATAGCCATCTAATCACAAAAAAACCCAACAAAAAAAACAAAACAGAAGACCAACTGATCTTAGCAGCATATAAGGCAGAGCTGAAACATTGATACATGAAGCATTTACATTTTGTTTTAATTAATGCTATTGCTGCAGTGTTGGTTGGTTCTTTAACAAAGAAAGAATCTTTGATACTATCAATAGTGCTAGAAATCTGCAGAAATTAAGATGTCTCAAGTACAGATAAGTTTCAATAAAATGATTAAATGACTATGGCTTCATATTTCTAAATGCATGTGTATTATGTTGCCACCTTAGAGCCCTATCACTGCAGTAACATTACTTTGCACCCAGTAAGCAGTACTCCCTTATTCAAGATCTCGTGTGACAAAAGATAGGACTGATATTAACAGCAACTGAAATTATCAACATAAATAATTCTTGTTCTGTTTCACAATCCTGACAGGTTATATTTCACATACTAACAACAGAAAAACTTGAACTGATTGCACCATGTGTCAGTGCAAAAAGCTACAGCCATACTATATATATATGAAATTCTTCCATGTGAACACAACTGATGGTCAACAGTTTAAGTTCATACAACATGGTGATGGTAATGACAGTGACACATTTTACAAAACTCATTGTCCATTCACATTTAGTTGACAATTCGGTTTAAAACAACAAAATGCAAACCCATGCAACTATTGACACCAAAAAAGAGGTATTTTGCTTATGTGAAAGAACTCACAATGCAGGTTCAGAAAGAGCCATGCAGGATAAACATGCCAGATAAGGTAGAAAACATCGCAGCGAAAGAAAACCAAAATAAAATAAAACAGTTCACAGCATCAAACCACTCAACACTAACAAAATGCAGATGAAATAATTGAATTTTTTTTTAACTTCCAATAACTGTGTTACACAAATTACAGCATGGGACGACTGGGAGTAATTTCTGAATTACACATCAAATGCATTGCCTCAATTAACTCTGCGTTTAACTTACACTCCAAAGAATGTATTCCTTGCAAATAAATGTTTTGCTTTTTTAGCTGTGAAAAACATTCATAATAATTTTTTTGAAAGGCTTCAAGCTGAAACAGATGTCAATAGCTCTATAGAATTGTCATTAGCATGTTTTATTAACACTGTAAAACATTATTCTGAAAAAAAGTGGAAAAAATAATGAAGTCACACTTAAACATACAGTGTTTCCTGCCCAAGACAAGCTGTCTAAAGGTCAGAAGAGACTTCTTTGGGACAAAAAGGAAATATTGCCTCAATAAGCATTTATCTAACATGAAAAAGATTAAATATTGTTTCCCCCCCCCCCCCCCATTAGAGAACTGAACATAAGTTCCTAGTTAGCCTGAATTTCCTTTAGAGAACATATTAATCCATACTCATGTAAATGATACTCAAGTTGTGTCTTTTTTCAATTACAGATAAATTGCTACAATATATTAGTGACAGTCATTTGCTTTCTTAAATTATATTCAGGTTTCCACTTCCTCAGAACGCATATTCCCTCACATTTCTGTTATCACTGCAGGGAGGGCTCAACACAGTAGTGACCAAAAGGCATAAATAGTAGTTTAGCAAACAATTTTACTGTATCAAGTAGCTTCAATCTTTTTATGTGACAGAAATAAAATTTAATCCTCCTACAGTGATAGACCAATGCAATAAATGAAAGCAAAATGACCCATTAACACAGTGATTATAAAATTAAAATAACCATATCCCAGTTAAGGCAGAATAGTCCCTTTCCCAAAATTAAATCGTACAGCCTCTCACCTTCATTTATTTAATGACCCAGGTGTCAGAAGCAGAGTTAATTTTCATTCCAATCATAAAAGGGTTCAATCTACCTGCATACAACATATTCCAAGAGAATTTTGTTGCCAAATTTTTAAGACACAAGTCTGGAGCTGGTAGGGCATTGTGTCACTATTGGATGCATTAAAGTAAGCACAGTTCCAGAACAGTAACAGGGTGTATCTAATAAATATGATCAAGTCATCTTCCACATGAGTAAATAAAAACATGATACTATGTCCTAAGTCACATGGAAATCCAACCATATGGCTATGAATGTAACATATCAGAAATTAAAATCAGTCACATCTTCTCAGAGTGTACCTTTGCAAAAGCAGTGGAATGATGTTGCGACTTGCATAGACTGAACTCTTAGTATGGATTAGAATATTACCCAACCAGAAAACAGAAAGTGCAGTTGTAAAAATCAGAGAACTTAAACCACCAATATCCTCGATTTAAAAAATTCCTGTGCCCAATGTATTTAGAGCAGAAGCAACCCACAGAATTACCAATTAGCATTAAGAATGAGAAATTAATAATTTGATGCTTTGAAATTTTATTTTGGGCTTGGGGTTTGTTTTTTTAATTCCTACCTATGTCATTGGCTACCATCTTGGAAAAATTTCTGCTTTTGGTCTTCACTGTAAAGAACATTTTAATAAAAAAAAAAAATCAATTTAAGTGTATCAATGGATGAACTGAAGAAAAAAAAAAAGACTACAGAAAAGAAAAATACTGTACCCTTTTCTATAAAATTATTCATTTTTTCATCATCATCAGAATTGTTTGGTGAACCAGAACCTATGAGTGAAGACAGAATGAAATGGATATACAAACATATATTTTTGACACAAAACAAATGTATTAATACAAGCTTTGAGTTTAAGGAAGATACAAAGATGTATTAAAATATCAAATACTGATACAGGTATTCTCTGCAGCTGTACTAGATACTGGAAGGTCCAACTTCTTTTGGTATGACAGGAATTCTATCATATTGAGAACAAATTATAATGCAAGGTACAATGTTGCACAGTGCAGCGAGTTTATTGCTAGATATTTACCTCATTGAATAAAATGTTTATATTGAATAACTAGATTGTTGCCTTAACCATTAATCTAGATTAACCTAAATTATGATTCACAGAACACTGCTGTAACAAACAAGGGTTTTTTCATTTTTTAATTTTTATTTTTTTCCCCTCTTCAATGCAATAAGGTTCTGTTGGGCCACTGTTCAACTATTCAGCATACAATGTAGAGCCAATGCTGCCACACGGGATTTTTCTGAATCCCTGATACTGAAAAAACAGTTGTTGCTACAGGCCACAGCTTGAGGCTTAACACTGTCACAAAATTAAAACATAATTCAACTAAAAAAGGCCAAATCTCACTGAATTTTTGTATTCTGGAAGTGTAACATAAGAACAGAATGAAAACTTTTTGGCACCCGTTAAGACAAACATGACAGTTTACAATTCTATACAATTTTACTATCTCTCTTGCATTTTCATAATTCTGTGTTATTAGCACTGTAGGATACTCTCTTAACTTGCATATGCAGGTTGTCCCTTTCACAGTCCTCTCAACTGTATAACCACCCACTGGAGGATGTCCCAGGGAAGTTAGCTTCCAATTCTCTTCACATGGGCACAGAAAGGTGGAATATTTAGCTCACTTGAGCAAATGCAGACTTCAGACCAAAAAGTGGCTGGTCTGTTTTACAGATGATACTACAACAGTCAAAATCAATAAGGTACTCAATTGACAATCCTACCCTGCAATATTAGAGCAAGTATAACAAGCAAACTTTTTGTGCTAGTGTAGTTCCCTCTTAACCAGAATGCATCTAGACTGGAAAATATTCATTTAAATCTGGACTCTGTCCTGCATTTCATGCTTACCACATACTATGCAGCCAATTTCTCCAAAATGTCCCCTCTCACCTCTCCAAAAACTGAATGCCATTTTCAAGCTTCTTTACAGTCTTGCGCTCTTGCCCAGAAAAGATATAAAACTTAAAGCAAACCTAAGGAATTGCAGCTCTTCTCTCTTCATAAGCACCACCAAACAATTTCTATATCAGGGAGGTGACCCCTGCAGGAGGTAAGGTATAGACCAGCCTCATGGTCTCAATATTCTGTTTTACAGTGGCTATCCTCCTCCACCTTTTGTCCATTCATTATTTTTTGGTACTTTAGACTTACTTCTCTTCAGTACTGTGTGCATAACCAAGACATTAAGGTAAACAGAGAGGGAGAAGAGGTAAATTATTAAATTTAGTATTTTTCCATATACACCCTGACTTTCACTTTTGGGCTTGCTTTCACTGTAATGTGAAAATTCTGAATTGAATTTAACTCCAATTCCAAATTATGAAAGAAACTAACTCAAAAAAAATAGTACTTTTAAGTTTTAGTGGTAACAGAAGTGGCTTGGGCTGACATTTGAGTGATGCTGGAGAAGGGGAATAAAGGATATAGATTAAGGGTTACAACACATTAGCTGTTCATTATACACATTTTATTGCAGTATATCAGAAATCTGAAGTGATTCTGAGCAGCCCAGCTGAGAAGGACTTGGGAGTGTTGGTCAGTGGGAAACTGAACGTAAGCCAGCAGTGTGCGCTTGCAGCTCAGAAAGGCAACTGTATTCCTGGGCTGCATCAAAAGGAGAATGACCAGCAGGTCGAAGGAGGTGATCCTGCCCTTCTACTCTGCTCTTATGAGACCCCAGTTGGAGTACTGTGTACAATTCTGGTGTCCTCAACATAAGAAGGACAAGTCCAGAGGAGGGCCACTAGGATGATCAGGGGGCTGGAGAATCTCCCATATGAAGAGAGGCTGAAAAAGTTGGTTTTATTCAGCCTGGAGAAGAGAAGGCTGCGTGGAGACCTTATAGCAGCCTTCCAGTATCTGAAAGGGGCCTACAGAGATGATGGAGAGGGACTCCACATCAGAGACTGTAGCAATAACACAACAGGTAATGGGCTTAAACTTATACAGAGGAAGTTCAGTTAAGATATAAGGAAGAAATTCTTTACTGTGAGGGTGGTAAGGCACTGGCTACAGTAGGAAAGGAATCTACCTTTAGAATCCTATACTGATTACCTTTTTGCACTATATCGCAAGAGTGCACATATCATTTTAGGTACTTGAGTAAACCTGCAGTTTTATCCTCTACTCAACCTTGAGTACAGGTTTGAACGAAACATATAAAGTTACATATTACTTCAAAAGGTTACTCATATTAATAGTGAAGACAAGCTACAAATTTTTAGCTACTACATGAAATACTCATCTCAAATACTATATACTGACATGCACTATTAAGTATTTACATGGCTACAACTTCAACTAGCCAGTATTAAACACTAAATAATATTACATATTGCTGAAGCTTTTGTTTAAAGTATTCATGTACAGCAGTAGCTACTAAATAAAATAAGATAGGGGGAGTGCTAAGTAGGATACCAGTGTCCGAAGGTCTCAGATTCCAAAGAAATATAGTAATTTACACTTATGAGGAAACTGAAGTGAATTAGCTCATTTGACAGAAATAATCTTTACTACTTCTGAGGACAAAGAAACACAATCACATCAACTATTACAGGAATTTGTGCATCTCTATCAGTGTTCCAGAATTCCATTGTGCAGTATATTCCCTGAAGCATAAATATTTCATATTATATTTCTCTTCACTTATCTTTATGACATATTCCTATTGCATCTCTTAAATCAGCCTTGTTTTAAAAATGCAGTTGTACAACAGAAGATTTATCACAGCTCAGTTTGTGAGATGACAACAGGTTTTACATAATTACTTAACTACTAAGTGTTGACTTAAAGTATGCTATCTTCTGGACAAATAAGAAGCTGAATATCAGAGAAAGTTATGATTACCTGAAGTGGGTGACTTGCAGCGGTCTTCTGGCACTGTTGTACCTTCATTAATATCGCAAAGACCTGCTGGAACACAAAAACAGTGTGTAATAATACAGCTGCTACTTTATCCTTCCTTCCACTGCAGTTAGAAACTTCATTTCTTAATAGATACAAACCAGCCAGTTGTGATAGAATTTGTGACATATTGCTTGTTTTGTTATTATATGGACATTACTCACAGTAACTGTAGAGTCAATTCTTTCTACTGAAGTTTTCTTTACAAAATAAATTTCCTTATGAACTTTGAGTGAAAACCACCATACTTTCAGCAAGACAGATTTATCAGAACACTTACTTAAAAGCTATAGGTATATATTAAGTACAACTTGTTTTAAAAAACACCCTAGGGTTATATTAAAAGTGTAATTACAAAAGAAGCCAGATGAAAGAGGATCTTGACGCTTACAATCATGTGTGCAGTACGTGTGAAACTACAGTGCCTTTTTGCAGTTCTTTTCCCACTATAAAGTGATATGCTTTGCATTTGCTGTTGTTACATTCTGTCCTCCAGCAAAACTCCTTACTGGTGTCACCTACGTAATTTAGGTTCTAGAATGTTTATTAAAGTGCTCTTCCTTGTACAGAGGAACTGTGTTAAATTCTTACACCAACAAATCTGATAATTTGAGTAACTGCAATGTGTTAGTATCTAAAAACTCATTCCTTTCATTCCAGTGAAGGAAGTAAAGCACAGGAGTCCACAATCAGATGCTAAAGATAGAAGTTGCCTCATAAAGGTCCTAAATATTTTTCTATAGCACTGACTAGAAATACACAAGAAATTTTTCTAGTATTCTTTTTGACAATAAAATGCTGCCAAGAGTGCCCAAAATTAAGAAATCTACAGCTTAAACCATGACAGCTAGTAACATGTATTTAGGTTTATATAACAGTTTTCCTTCAGCACGTAATACTTAACAGTAATAGTTAAGAAATATTTGTTAAAATGAAAAGCTTTGCGTGCATACAAATATTTCAAATGGTCAAAAAGCTTGAAAGGTGTAATGGTAACGACTAAGGCAACAAGGGCTTGTACATGCAAATGCTGTCTATGCAGCTGTTCACTACACATTCACTAGTATATCTGTACATATATGTTAACAGATGACAAAAAACATGGGAACAGCACTACTCTTCCAGCAAAGCTTGAAGATTTCCAAATACTATTATCAAAGTTGTCAATTAAAGGGAAAAAAGTTCTCCTGGAATACGCTACCAATGTGTAACACATTAAAAGTAGGTTGCATTCACATACAGTTTCTTTTATGCAAAGTAGTCTAAGATTTCTAAATGCACAAGCAGCTTGAACCTCAAAACTCAAGGATTGATGTGAAATTGTCAAGTGACCTTAAGACTTGGTTAAGCCTACACTTAACAACATTGCAGGAGGTGATTTCAATTCTAATGTGTATAGTGAAATCCCAGATGAAAGCTGTACCTTTCCACTACACTGGAGAAATAAATACATTGCTTTTTTTCCTTTTCCTTTATCTATCAGTAAATCAATGAGCTCTATGGGATAATTGTGGCACACATTCTCCACCAATGTATTATTTGACCTCTGAAAGGAGAGTTTTAAACAAGAATGGGAGTCTAAATGTTATATACTAGACAGTGTTGTGTAAAAAGACTTTTTGAAATTCCAGATGCTGGTCTCCCAACAAGCAATACAAATTTTAGTAGCAATGCTGGGAGAATATACCTGTACTGTGCTTTTAGACAAGGTTGTGTTTCTAGATCATGCTTCTTCAGGATCCAAACTGAAGAAATCCAAGCACACAGTTCAGGAACTTATTTTCCCCTTTCCTGTAAGTGTTTTCATTCTTTATCTTAATTTGAATAGTTTAACTACTCACACTAGTTTTCCGAGGAAATCTCCTGCATTGACAGGAACAATCTTTAGATTTAGAATTAAATCACACACTTGTACACCTAATTTCTTTGCAAGAAGTCTTGAGGCTATGATTTAATTTATATACATCTTAATGAACTAGTCAGATCAATGGATCTAACAGAAAATGCCCAGAATCCCCTAATTTTATGGCTTGGGTAAGATTCACCCCACTAAAGAGTGTGCATTATGGCACAAACCTTTGAAATCTACGCATAGCCATCACTACTGTTATTTAAGAGCGAAGAAGGGACAGGAGCAGCTAAAAAGTAATTTTACCTCTGACTGTATTAGCAATTAAGCTAAGCAGAGAATCATACGAATGATTCGACTGACGCCTTTGAGCTATGAAGGTCTGTCCATGCCCTGAGAGAAGAAACTAGTGTAGCAATCATTACTGCTCTTCATATCTTCAGCCCCCAGGTACCCTGACTGAAGCAGCATGTGCACTGGCAGTAAGACAGATTTTCTGCAAAAGTTTCCTGGTTTCAGACTTGGAGCATACATATAAATTGCAAATATACAAAAGCAAATTGATCCAAGAGTTTCCATTTTAGAACTGCAAAAAGTAAAACCTGCTAGAACACAAATACACGGAAAAGTGACATTTTAGTGAGTTTTTAGCTTAATCTCTCTGAATCTAGCTGAAAAAAATTGGAAGCCCCCAAAATGAATTAAAAAAAAAAAAAAGAAAAAATCAAATAGTATCATTAAAGACAAAAATTACCTATGCTGCCTTAAAAACTCCCTAGAATTAAAGCTCAAAATTAACTAATGTATAAATTAAGTTTCATGACATTTGTCATGTTTTGCATGTAACCTTCAGACAGCTATATAGAATGACAGAATCATAGAACAGTTAGGATTGGAAAGGACCTTCAGATCATCTAGTTCCAACCCCCCTGCCATGGGCAGGGACACCTCATACTAAACCATGCCACATGAGGCTCCGTTCAACCTGGCCTTGAACACTGCCAGGGATGGAGCATTCACAACTTCCCTGGCCAACCCATTCCAGTGCCTCACCACCCTCACAGTAAAGAACTTCTTCCTTGTATCCAGTCTAAACTTCCCCTGTTTAAGTTTGAACCCATTACCCCTTGTCCTATCACTACAGTCCCTAATGAAGAGTCCCTCTCCAGCATCCCTATAGGCCCCCTTCAGATACTGGAAGGCTGCTATGAGGTCTCCACACAGCCTTCTCTTTTCCAGGCTCAACAAACCCAACTTTTCCAGCCTCTCTTCATACCAGAGGTGCTCCAGTCCCCTGATCAGCATCGTGGCCCTCCTCTGGACTTGTTCCAACAGCTCGATGTCCTTCTTATGTTCAGGACACCAGAACTGTACACAGTACTCCAACTGGGGTCTCATAAGAGCAGAATAAAGAGGTAGGATCACCTCCTTTGACCTGCTGGTCACGCTCCTTTTGATGCAGCCCAGGATACGGTTGGCTTTCTGGGCTGCAAGCACACATTGAAGCTGGATCAAGTTCATCAACCAACACCTTCAAGTCCTTCTCCACAGGGCTGCTCTGAATCTCTTCTCTGCCCAACCTGTAGCTGTGCCTGGGGTTGCTCTGACCCAGATGTATGACCTTGCACTTGGCATGGTTAAACTTCATAAGGTTGGCATCAGCCCACCTCACAAGCGTGTCAAGGTCGCTCTGGATGGCATTCCTTCCCTCCAGCGTATCAACTGAACCACACAGCTTGGTGTCATCGGCAAACTTGCTGAGGGCGCACTCGATCCCACTGTCCATGTCACCAACAAAGGTGTTGAACAAGACCGGTCCCAACACCGATCCCTAAGGGACACCACTCGTTACTGGTCTCCAGCTGGACATTGAGCCATTGACCACAACTCTTTGCGTGCGGCCATCCAGCCAGTTCTTTATTCACTGAGTGGTCCACCTATCAAATTGGTGTCTCTACAATTTAGAGACAAGGATGTCATGTGGGACAGTGTCGAACGCTTTGCACAAGTCCAGGTAGACAACATCAGCTGCTCTACCCCTGTCCATCAGTTCTGTAGCCCCATCATAGAAGGCCACCAAATTGGTCAGGCAGGATTTCCCCTTAGTGAAGCCATGCTGGCTGTCACCAAGCACCTTGCTGATTTTCATGTGCCTTAGCATGCCTTCCAGGAGAATCTGCTCAAACATTTTGCCAGGCACAGAGGTGAGACTGACTGGTCTGTAATTCCCTGGGTCATCCATCTTCCCCTTCTTGAAAATGGGGGTTATATTACTCTTTTTCCAGTCATGGGAACTTCACCTAACTACCATGATTTTTCAAATATGATGGACAGTGGCTTAGCAACTTCATTTGCCAGCTCCTTCAGGACCTGCAGATGGATTTCATCAGGTCCATGGACTTGTGAACCTTCAGGTTCTTAAGATGGTCTTGAACCAGATCCTCTCCTACAGTGGGCCCAGGGTCTTCATTATCACAGCCCCTGCATTTGCCTTCCAAGACTTGGGTGGTGTGGCCAGAGCATTTGCCAGTGAAGACTGAGGCAAAGTCGTCATTAAGAACCTCAGCCTTCTCCAAATCCAGTACAGCCAGTTCTCCCAAGAGCTTCTGGAGGGGGCCCACATTGTCCGTAGTCTGTCTTTTATTTGCAATGTACCTAAAGAATCCCTTCCTGTTATTATATCCCTGATATATCTCTGAAGAAACTACAACTTGACTGGAAACAAGCCTAATTAAAAATTACAACTTAAGCTAGCTTGATATAAAGATGTAAAAATAATAATTAAGAACAATTAACCGGGAAAATGGAGTAAAACATTTGCAAGCCCAACAATCAAGCTTTCTGATTCAGTTCTGGATTTGGCTTAGCCATAGATTACGGTGGATTGATTTAATCGACATTTTAAGTTAAAAATTCAAGTAGTTCATGTCTGGATCCACTTCAAAGAAAAAGGGGACACGGAAAACAGCCTTAACAAACAACTCCAGAAGAGTTCTAGACATGTACTGTCTTCAGCTTTGACTCAACCCCTGCTCTGAATCCCTTGTAGATCACATCGAAAAGTCTTTTTGGTGTATAATAATAAAAAATAATAACAAAATAGTCACATGAATGCAAGAAGTGCTTCTATTTTGTCAGAATCCTGAACTGCCTCTGGTAGAACTAAGAAATACTAACTTACAAAAAGTCGTTTTATATTGTACTAGTTGAGAATTCACATAAAATCTTGTAACTCCCATCAATAGCAAGCTGCAAAAGAATCAAGATTGGTGTCTTATGTGAATTTAATTATATAACTAAGCAAGGAAAAACTGCAGCTGTTCCTGAATTTTGGTGCTGAGTCATAAAATTGTCAATTGTTTGATAATTTGGTGCCAATACTGACTTTCTTAATGGCTCCTACTTAGTAAACAGTATACAAAGTAAAGGTCTCTAAACAGTGTAAGCCTCCACTGAGTACAGAGGTTTCATCACAGTATGAGACTTTAACTTACACAGTTTATGTCTTTCAGCACATGGGCAAAGTTGTTTGTTATGGGTTTTCTTTTCCCTTCACTCTTATGATCTAAAGGCAAAGGTTAACTGTTTTTATCCTTGACAAGCACCTGATGACAGGCCTTCATTGAACACATATACTGCATGCTTCACAAACTATAAATTGCCATCCAAAACATGAGTAATATACCTGGTACGAATCACCGATAAATTCCAAAACACGATCCCAACAGGGAGCTTGTATCTGTTGAGCTAGCCTGAAATGACAGTTTACAGTCTAGCTAGTGTAGAGAGCCTTGTCTCTAAATAGCTGCTGCTTTAAGACGGGAATCTGAATTTCTTTTCTGAGTGAAAAAAAATGACAGAAACATACATCATATAGCATATTCTTGCAATACAAGTGAAGGGAAAATCTTGCATTTCCATTCATATTTTAGAAGATACATAAGTCTTAATCTGTGAACCCCCCCCCCAGAAAAAGTCTTTAAACTTCAACTGGTTGACTCAGGACATACCATTTACTAAATAACAAATATGTAAGCAGATAATGATGATCTGTTAAATAGACATTTTATTCTGGAACATACAGAATAGAAGCGTTCCTAATGAGGAAGGACCAATTCTTGCTGCTTTTTCTGGACAAAACCTATAGAAGTAGTTGAGTAACAGAACAGTATTTTCCTACCTCCCCTGCCATACTGTAATAATTTAATTTTTAATCCTGCTAATCTTGTGATACAATGTGCAATAATAATATGCTGCTTTGTTGCATGCTGTTTGAACCTGAATTTAATGTAACTAATTAAGAACTTGTCTTAACACATGCATAAGCTAGTATGACTTTTTTGTTTCTCCCCTTAATACTTTGTGATAGTCTCAGAGAATGGGAAAAATACTCAGCTTCTCTGAAGCAATCACATCAAATACATAAACACTTTCTAGGAAGACTGAGAAATTAAGTGCAAATACTCCCTGAAGGTTATTAGAGCTATACAGTAATTGAAAAAGTCTTATTCATAGAAAAATAAAATTTAGAAGTATCAAAATGCAAGTTTTTTTTAAAGATAAAGAATTAGATGAAGGCATAACTTTAAAAATAAAAGCAAGGAAGCGTAAGTTCCTTGCATTTCTTAAGTGTTCTAACTCTTAAAGTTCCAATCTTATAAATATAGCAAATGATAGTTCTTTGATGCAAGTCTTACGTGTGGAAAATTACACAGCAATATTGCTTTAAACTATTGAATTCTGGGCAACACATACTTCGAAAGAACTATAAATAATGAGAAATATTAAAACTCTAGAGAAATTTTCAGGTTTTAAAAGGACTGTAGCTCCAAGCTAACCAAGGTATTGGCAGGACAGTGTGTGGAAAGTGAATTAACAACATGGTTAAGAAATTAACTCTTTTGCACAAAGCCTGTTTTAACCTATTCCTAAATTAAATGGTCCAGATAAATTCAGCTTTACAATCATTGGCATAAGAAATCAGTTTTGGGACTTCCAGCCAATCTTTTGCTTCCCTTCACAATAATAAGTCTGCGTCAGGTTTTTAAAACCAGTCAGTGACTGGTTTTCAATTCTGCATCATCTTCAGGTGGAGGCATTTTTTTCATGTCTAGCTCCTTTTCTCCCTTCTCAGCAGGTGATGAAAGACTGCACAGTAATATCTGGCTGTTGAGCCCACCTTTTCTGAAATGTCTTTTTTTTTGCTGGGGAAAAAAATAGCAGAACTAACAGAAGTGGATCACAATCTCAAGGACTCAAGGTATGTGTGTGGGGGAATTGCCCCAATTCTTTTATTTTTATTTTTTTAATTAAAAAAATCCTACAGGTCATTCTTCCCTTATCTTAGTTTTATTCTACCTTCCTTCATTAAAAAATGGGAAGAGATTACCTACATCTGCCCAAGAGTTGCAGAAAACTGGCACCCTTGGGAAAGGAACAGTGTTATGCTTTTAAAAATCAGCTTTATGTTCTCCAGACCCTTGGATTTTGTGAATGATGGAGTAAGTCAGAGAAGCCCTCAGGTAAATCATGGTTCCAATGCCACCTTGCACAGGCACCTGAACTTCAAAACTGCTTGGAAACTCCACAGGGCTGAGAGATACACAAACACCTCCACTCTCAATCCCTATGAACAACATCTTTGTAGAAGTAAGTTTTTATTTGTAATAGACAAATCACTGCCTTTCACAATGTTAACTAATAAAAATAAAAATCATCTAACACTAGAGTTCTGAAGCTTTTTCTGCCAGAAAGGGGGCCAAGCTAAGCTTCTAGTCTCAGATTGTAAAACACTATGATCAGTAAGTAAGATCTAAGGCCTGTAGACATCAGTAACTTCTGAGACAGAATCTCCTTTTAATTTTGATGCTTATTTAAAAACAAAATGCAGAGATCATCACAGTTGTTTTTTTTCCTTTAAATTTCTTTTGAAGATGCCATGAATAAGAAATACAACAGCTGTGTGATAAATTAGAATCAGTTTCTAAAATTGTAACAATTACTTGAAACGGACTAACAAAATATTTATGGTGAGTGAACAAGTGAAAAATCAAATTCAGGTGTTCAAAGATATTTTAATGCCATGAAATGACTTACTTATATAAGAGGTGCGAAGCTTTTTCACAGACTCTGAATATAAGTTAGAAAGGCCGCACATGCAAGAAGCCACAGTCAGCATACCTTCATGAAGCAATGAGAAAAGGAAAGATGGAGACACTAACAGTACGTTTGAGACAGAAAAGCCAGCAGAGTAACTTCTATAATCAGGCTTGTAAGATGCTCTTGCCATGCAGATTGTTAGTATTAAAATGTAAGATAAAAAAAATACATGATTTCATGTAACAGTTATATTCATGAGCAAAAAGGACTTAATTCATGAACATAAGAGAGTTAGGCAGATCCAATACATTAAAATAACAAAAGTCAAGAAAACAAAGCAAGTAACATTTGACACTCTAAAAAGCAGTTTATAATCCAAATGCATGAAGCAGGATTCAAGTCCTTTATTCCTAAGAGGAAATAAAACAGTCAACTAGCAAAGTTATTTCTTTCCCTCAAAATGCAATTTTTTAAATAAAGTGTTTATTTATTGGAAGAAAATATTTTATCTGACAGGATACCAAACATGCACATTCTGCTGTACACTGATGACTTTCAAACCAGTTTTCCTCAGTGGAAATAATCTGACTGGTGCTAACTAGATCTTTTTCAAACAAGTGATTTACTAAAATGCATCTTAGAGCATCCATTTCAATTTCAATAAAACATTATCTAAAGAACTTACCTGGACCTTATTTCAGATCTCTTAAAATAGAGCAACCAATACTAGAGCATCACAAAGCTTTTTGAACAGTTTATTGCCTATTGAAAAATAATCATATGGGGCAGCAGTGACACTGTTAATTATTCTGTCTTCAGCCATTTTGTAAATTAGCTGAAAAGTATTCACTACATAATGAGGATAAGAAAATAATTTAACAATACTGTGTTTTTTCTTTCAGCAATAAAAAGCTGAACATTAGGAACAGATCAAGAAGAAAGAATTAAACAGCAATGGAGAAAAGTATGTTTTTATTCAAAGAATATACACTAACAGCTCAGATAACCAGCTGTGCCTTTCTTCTCAGTTTAAACCAAGTTTTGGGTTACTCACCTCCAGACGGTTGCCGCGATTTTCGGGGAGATCGTGGCTCTCTGCGGTACGGATCATTGGAGCCATACAGTTCAATAGTGCCTAGATTCAACAGCACTGTCTTCTGGAGGTAATCGACCATGGCAATACCATTACAGTTTCCAAAAACTACTCTGGAAAAAGAGAAGTGGAAGGAAAGATAGTGCTAATCAAATGCTCATTAAATTTTATCTCTATTTGTTGCTGTTCAGCATTTAAAGACTTCCTAATTTTTTTTAATTACCCTAAACTATGCAGATTTATAAATTACTGTTTTAGAATGAAGTATTGTTTAATTGCTGTCTTGTAAAAAAACACAGAACACCGAGTAGAAAAGATCACTACCATTGTACTTGCCAATCTGACAGAGCCTTAAATGACACTCTTTGCCTATAGAGCGTCAGGTGAGGAAGAGTGATGCTGATTTGTTTCCAATGTTAGCATCATCATTGCCATGACCTAAACCCATTTATATTTCAAGCACAGGACAATGATTGCCTCTCTTGCTTTGCTGTGCAGCTCATGTGAACACACATCGGAGTTTAATTTTTAATAGATAATTTTAAACCACTTCAATGTAACAATGAAAAATACGCATAGATTATACTTACAAGCCGTATGCTGAGTTGACTGCTAAACTGGTTATCTGCTGAGGAGGTTCTCCACTCACCCACACTAGCTGGATAACTAGCTCAATTTGGTAGCCCGGAGACTGCTTGAGAGGAGAATTTTTAACTCTGCAAAGTAAACAAAACATGGTATCTGTTTATGACTCTCCACACTCTCAGTTTTTATCTTATGGGCTCAGAAATCATTACATTCTACACTACACCAGACTTCAGAAAGTTGAAAATAGCAACAACAACAACAAAAAAAAAATCAACACATAAAAGCAACCATAAAAAGCCACATTGGAATTGGCCATTCACTTCCAGGTCCTTTTTGATTCATAACCTTACCTAATTGAAAATTAATTAATCAGTGATTACAAATATGTCATTTCTCCCCTCTTCAGAGCATGGCATTACAGCATCAGTATGCTTTATTGACTTGAATAAAGGCCACCAGGGTCTCAGTGGAGTTACCCATTCTTTTCAGAGTTCCCAAAAGAACTCTGATTTAAAAAATGGAAGGGGATGAGAAGCACATGTGGAAGCTCCATGAGCACACTGTGGCATCATACAAAATGAACATCCATGAGAATGGGACATTTAATTGTTTCCTGCTCCCAAAATACAAAATAGTTCCCTTGGAGAGTTATATAAAAAAAAACAAACCCAATCAGATTTCTAAGCCTAACCTTAAGCCTACAAATAACTTTCTCAGTTATTTGTAAATGTTTTCATTGCTTTTGATTTGGTTCTAAAAACTTAAGGCTCTAAAACCAGGTGAAATCTGTTCAGACATGCTTGGTCTAAAGTTAAAGAGACTCTCAAAACTAATTAATCAAAATTAAGTTGCCTACTCATTTCAACAGGCAGTAAGATTTACAAGTAACCATACTGTTGCTATTGAAAATGTTTGCCCTAAAGCATGAGCATCTGACTACATTAACATGTATGTCCAAGTTTCCTAAAGCAGGCAGCAGTCAGACGGTAAAAACATTCAGATTGCCTTTTTTTTTTTTTTAAGAATCAGCTTGTGAAGTTCAAGGAAACCAAGAGTGCAATATTAATTTCTTAAAACAGAACTATACTTTCAGATTCTTGGAAAACATTAAGGAAAAAAAAAAATCCCCAAATATTACATTTCTGTAATAATATCAAAGTACAGATATTCTAATTACATATTCTAGTAAAGTTTCACACTCAAACATGTAACAAAATATGCTTACTTTAAACATGGGACATTGTCACGAAGTCCATCAGATGAACTACTACTAGTAGATGGATGAGACTGGGGAACAATGGACTGAGGATTGGAACCTGTGCCTGGAGTTGGTAAAGGTGGCACCTGTTCACCATCTGGAGATTCCACATCATTTATTTCATACAACAGACGTACTTCCAGCATCTGTTAATTAAAGTAAAAAAAAAAAAATACCATTAAGCTCTGCCTTTCAAAAAACTAGATATGAAATAAATGAAGTGCAACTAAAGATACTAATGATAAGTGACATCCAGGACTTTATTACCTTGTAAAATATAATGGTAGTTTAATAAACAGTGCAACCTAAACACAATCCAGTCTTTGGAAACAGAGTTATACTAACTACTACAGACCAAGTATCTTAAGATTGCTAAAACTTGGAAAACTAACCTATTTCCCAGTACATAAAAGTTTGCTGCTTAATACTGGAAAGAAATTAAACACTGGATACAAGACCCATTCAATTATCAACCTGTGCAACGTAAGAAATCCTCAGTTATGAAGATGAATTGTTTTATGTAGTCCAGGAATGCTAAAACTGAGAAGAGCTGAAAGCATATAGACAGCTATAGTTTATACTGTTGTAGTACTGTACACATGGGACCTAGTTCAGTGTTTGATGTTGCACTGAACTAGATGATACATTTTAAGGAACTAAGTCCATTATGATTTCATACTTCCTTCTGCTGGATCTATAATAATATTGGTATTAATTGTAGCGCTGTGTAAAGAAAGTTTTCTGCTCTTATTCTCATCATCTGCAAAATAGAACTCCAGGACTGAAACAAAGAACTAAAGAGTATTTTTTTAAAGCATTTTTAGTACTGAATAGCTTGCTAGTCACTGATTTGTAAATATCATTTAGAAAAACTATTCCCTCAGAAGAAAGTGTAGTTGTACATAAGTAAACGCTAGAAGGAAAAAAAGTATGCCTCATCTTGAACTGAAACTAATCTGAAGGGGGCAGAATAAGAGGGGGGGAAAAAACCCAACAAAGAAAAAAAACCAACTGCATGACAATTAATGCCTTGCTTAGAACATACAGTATTTTTTAATTAAATGGCTTCTAATTAGCTTTCACCTCACACACTCAGGTAACTTAACCTTGCATGTGTGTGTTTGATTTAAAAAGGATTTTTGAAACTCTCGTGACAGAACTCATTGTGTCTTACACAGAATAAAACAGTGACACAGCAAAGTCCTTAACAGACCTGAGGGCATGTCTACAATGCTTCTATTCTAGTTTTGCATGCTACAGAAGCTTTGCCAAAACAGATGGTAATTAACAGAAATCCAGGAGGAAGAAAGGAATCAGCTGCCTAAAAGCTTTGAAAATTTTTCAAATCCACATCTCTATCACTTTTTTTTTTCATTTTATTTTTAATACAGCCAAGTTTTGATCCACTATTTAGTTTGATAGATAGAACAAAGAACTATTATTGGCTGCAAAATCTGAAAACATTGGTGTGTAATTTTCACTTCTGCTGAATTTCATAATTTATTGGTTTTCCTCCACAAAAATGTATCTCCTTGTTTTGCGGCCACTGTTTTACTCTGCTTCATTAATAAAATTAAAGACAATGAAATAGCATATTGCTACAGCAGTCTTCTTATAGCTAAATCCTATAAAGCCAAAGCACAGTTATAGTACTTACCGGAATGATTTCTGTTGTCACTTCCTGCTTGCTGAACCTGTAAATAATGACATGTGCAGAAACTCCAGCTATGCACAACATTCTACTTTCTGGACACCATGAGATGATCTGAATAGCATATGGATCTTCATCCACTATATCTGTGTTTGGCCTGTCATCTTTATTCCGTGATTTTTCAAATACTTTGGCTGTTTTTAGCTTATAGAGTACTTGCAGCGTTACTAGGGAAAAAATAAAAGATAATTAGTTTTGATCTAAAAACATATTTATCTTGTTTTTGATTTTTTTTCATTTAGAAACTTTCCTTCATACATAAAGCAACTATATTCAACAAAAGAGGGCAGAGGAGAAGCACCAAATACCTGTTTCAACTCTGCCTGTGCAGTGCACCACTTGACCAACTCAGTATCAGTATTAAAACCACCACCACAAGCAACAAAAGCCAATACACACACACACAAAAATAAAAACAAAAAAAAACCAAAAAAAAACAAACCAACAACCCAACACTTTTCCTGAGAGGTACATACTAAGCTTCGGTTTTCAACTAACCTCATAGCTTCTCAAGGCTTAGCTATACTTGTGTATCTCATACCATAACATCTACCCACAACTTAAGCTTACCTATGGCAGACAAAGTGAAGCTCCTTTCCTTTCACCTTATAGTATTGCAAATACATGGCTTCTCACTGATGTTCTCAGACTTAACAGGCTCCAGTTTTCATTTTGTCCCGTCTAATCAATCACCCTACATTTTTATTGATAATGTGTTTCTTAGAATTGTTCTAGTGATGCCTTGCCACAGTTTAAAATTGTGGAAAAAAGATCCATATTGGCTTTACGTATATTCCAACCTGTTTATACCAATGATAATTTTATATTGTGCAAGGCTGGCACTGCAATCCATTAGACCTCCAGGTTTTTCTTCCCAAAACACAAGTTCTGACTATAAATCACTGAATAAAGTTGTCCTGAATGCTGTTCAAGAATTACCATTATCATTCTCAATTGCAATTCTAATTCTCTCTTACATTTTCTTTCAACTCTGCTACACCTACTAGTCATATCATTAGGAAAACTTAATTTCTAGCATCCTTCCTCCTCTTCCATATTTCCATGTTTTTATCTGAATCACACTTCCCCAGTTCATCTGTAAGACTGGGCTATTACAGAGATTTAAAAGTTTAAAAATCAAGATAGTGTGTACTATCAGTTTCTCCCTTAACAGATTTATCTATTTTAGAAAGTAACTAAATGCATTTACTAGGATCTCCTTTTGACAGATCCTATACCGAACAGAATTTTTAAACACACACTATCAATAAAAGCTGGGTAACGGCCCACCCCCTCCCCCCCAGGGTCCACCCCCATCCCAAACTGAAATTAAAGCTAACACTCCAAATACTCCTCCTCCCAGTTTTTAAACATATACATTGCATCTGTTGCCTCACACACCCACACATGCCTTCGAATTTTGGAATCTCACCAGTCTTCCACAAGTTTTCAAAGACAACTGATAATGATTCCAAGATTGCTTCAGACAGCTTTTAAGTACCAAGAGTAAGGTTAGTCAGAACTAGATTAATTAAAACATCTAATTCTGTGTAGCCCATTCTAATTTGAAGTCTTACTGCATTTCTCACTGTTACTTTTGTATAGCATTAGATGCAATTGACCCTCTAAGTGAAAAGAAATGTAAAACAGTATCTGACTGCAGGCTTGTTCAGTGTTTCACCAGAAAGTCTTTTACTGTTCTTCTGCCTTTCTTCACAAAGGCCTTCACAAAATGGATCATTTTATTAGCATAAACTACTACTGGTTCCAATTTTCATTTTTAGATACTGTAATTTATGGGGAGCTAATGTCTTCAACACATGCCTCTTCTGTCTAAAGACACAGAAACAACCTACTGAAATTCAATTGTACTAAAAAAGAACGCATTTGTCTGTTACACACTTCTATGTTCAATAAAGTGCTTCTAAAAATTTTTAGAACTCTTCCATTCTAGCTGGCTCTTGGACTACCAATGCACTGAGGTGGTAAAAACAGTGAAACAAGTAACTAAGAAATAATGTTAATTTTATTTAATTTTAAAATAAAGTTTCCTATAGAATTACTGACTCTACACAAAGTAGGAAATAATGAGAATGACCAGACAACAATTATATTCCAGTAAAGAAATCAGTTAAGTTTACAAAACTCCTACTGCACAGGAAAAAGTATCTCTATTGAAAACACTTACTTGCTGAGGCATCCCAAAACTTGATTGACCCATCAGCATGCCTATGAAATATTAAAAAATTAATAAGATAGTAAAAAAATGGTTAGTTGGACTGTTAGACCTCTGTGCTACTGATTAGAAATATGGTGAATATTCTATTTCTATCAAAATTCTTAGTGACCCTATTTTCTTTACTGGAGGCCAGTATTTTACAAACACGTGCCCCATTTACTTTACATAGAAGGGATTAAAAAAATAAACAAACATAAAAAGTATTTGAAGGCTAACTCCCTGAAATTTCATGATACTAGTGCTAATTTTCCATTTTAAATATGGATTTCAGTTACCTGTATTTCCCATAAGCAGTTTGGTATACCTTACCATGTGCTGTTTCTCAAAAAATGGTCTTTATTTGGAGTGACACTTGTAAAGGAGATGCCTACATATACTGTATTTCAGTGTAAATGAGTCACCTAACTTGTTTATTTATGCTTGAAATTGAGAATCAGATGACTTCTTTTTCTTCCAGGACTCTCTCTCAAAGTCTGTATAACTTAAAAGTATAAAGTGACAGTAATCCTCATTAGGATTAATGGGCTCTTCTGAAAAAAACTTTAGAGGTGCTCTCACTTTCAGTGATGCACTGCATGGTTATAAATTAATTTTTATTTATGCTTCTTAGAGTAGTATTAGAAGGATCAGTCTCAAAAGAGATCAAAACAAACAGATTTAAGTATTCAGTTGTCCTTTTTGAAATAAAAAACTTGGCTTCACTTTGAGAACTGAATTCAATAACTATTTGATGGGCTTCCTATGTTTTAGTGCACTATTTAACTGTTTTCCAAAAATTAGAGAAGTTTTATCCAGGATATAATGATAGCAAGCAAAGGTAATCACAATACCAAATCATAATAATCCCTGTAAAACACCTGCTATTGTTTTGTGCTGACATTCTCTTTGACATTTTGGTTTACTTTCTTGTTAATGCCTCAAGAAGACTATGCAAATAGCTTATGAACTTATTTTTTAAATTCAAACCACACTTAGAAAACTGTTTTGTTTAATAGAAATAAAATATTCCCACTTGTTCTTAATCAGCTAAGAAAGTTATTACCACACTATGGTGTCACTTACCCTGTAATAATTATCTCTGGATAGCTCTGAGTGATCAAACCCCAGTTGCCTCCACTGATGGGCCATTCCTGGAAGATTAACAAATACACTGAGGAAGAAAATATCATACAGTGCAAAGTTAAGCCGTTGAAATTACTGCAGGTACTGCAGGTTCCAATATTTCACAAGTTCAAAAACTAATTATGACATATCTACTTTGGGGGGGAGGGGATAAAAAAGAAATGTTCAACAATGGCTATAAACACCACCCCTGCTCCAGGAAGCCCCTCAGCTTCCTTGCTAAACAAGCGATGAGAGCATATTAGGAAAGCACGGCTACAGGCTTGATATTTGTTATATTCTCCCCAGACATCTGCGATTAGTCACTGTCAAAGACAGGATAATGAGTCAGATGGAGCTCTAGTCTTGGCATAGCCACTCTTACATTGTTTAGCGCTGCTGATTTTCAGTATTTTCAAATACCTGCATGTATACTAGATATTGTACCTTCTTACTGTAACCTTGACGCTTCTGTCGAGCACCAACTGAATAGAGTGCAGGTATGAGGTCCACAGGACAATCAGCAAAATATTCACAACAGGTAACCGGAGATTCATGTATAGTCAGAGGATAGGGATTCTCAAATATAGGGTACCTTTGATGGATGAAAGGAGAAGGACTGTTAACCTAGGATTTTTTTTTTTAAAGCAGAAGTAAACCACTAAAGATTAAGTCTGCACTCTTTTCACATAGAGAAAAATAAATGCATACAAAATTAGATTATGAACAAATGCGCTACGCAACTTAACTGCTCATCCAGTAAGCTATCAAGACATTGTAGTACTCCAGATAGAACTTGAAGTTTGTGTTGGTCCTAGAATATTGCTAGAGTATTACTATCCCTATAGTAAGCTTTTAAAAAAATATGAAACTATTTTAACGGCCTGTGGAAAACCCAAAGTTACCAAGTCCTAATTGTAGTAACGTGGAACTATGAATTTGTTTCTAACTCTTCAGCCTATTTTTCCAGGAAGAAAGGGAGAAGACTCCACTTCTTTCTGCGTATTATTATACTGTTCTTAGACAGAAAGTTGACCCGCACTTGTTATAACCTACTCTCGTGGTTTCAGTTGCAACAGTTGTTTTTCTTATTCCTAGTAGCTAGTGCAGTGCTATGTTTTGGCTTTAGTCTGAGAACAACGCTGTTAACACACCAATGTTTTAGCTGTTGCTCAGTAGCGAATACCCTGATCAAGGACCTTCTAGTCTCTCATGCTTTGCCAGTGAGGAGGAGCACAAGAAGCCGGATGGGAGCAGAGACAAGACACCTGACCCAAACTAGCCAAAGGGTTATTCTATACCACAGCATGTCATGCCCAGTATATAAACTGGGGGGAGTCACCTGGAAGGCCCAAGATCACTGTTTGTGTCCAGCTGGGTATTTGAGCAAGTGTATTGTGCATCACTTGTTTATTGTGTTTTTTTCCTGTTCCCTTTTAGTTTCATATTTTCTCCCCTTGTTATTTCCCTAATTATCGGTAGCAATAATAGCATTATATTATACTTTATTCATTAAATTGCTCTTATCTCAACCCATGGGATTTGTATTCTTTCAATTCTCATCCCCATCCTGCCCAGAGGAGGGAACAGGAATGGTGGCTGATCAAACGGCTGCGTAGCTCTGAGTAACTGACTGGGTACAAACCATGATACCTACCTGCAACTCCAAGATCACTTTCTAAAGATTATAGATAGCAACATCCAGTTACCAATTAGACATTGTGACACACACAAACTCCCCACTACCACCTCCATCACAAAAGTGACAAAACCTTAAGGAAGGAAAAAAAAAATTTTTTTTCTTTTTTTTTGAGAGTCAAAAAAGGACACAGCTTCACAACCCACCTAAAGGAAAAATTAGCAACAGATGAAAACATCCTGCAGACCAGTAAGTTTATACAGAGCTATCTGGAAAGTTACAGTAATCTTCTAAAACTTGAACAAAAAAAGGGGCTTAATTTTAACAGAAAGTAACAACTCCATATCTCAACACAGGGCAATAAGAAACTTCCTGCAGCAGGAAAAAAAAATCTACTTCGTTATTTTATTAAGGTGTGAAACGATACTTTGCAAGTCAAGCATAACAAAGACCAGTATGAATTTCTAAAAACAAAAAATCTTCAGCAGTTTTGTTTTTAATATGAAAAGGAATATGCCTTAACATAATTTTAACTTTCAGGCACTGCAAGCTATTTCAATTCAGGAAAAAAAGGTTTATACAAGCTTCTTGACTTCAAGTTTATTCAAACTTGTTTTATTAATGTTTCAGCATATGAATGTTGGAAGCATAATGCCATTAGTGTATCAGAAACAAGTTTCAGATACAGCATATGGCCATGTAACATTGGAAAAATCTACATGAAATTGCTCAGTAGCTGCAGAGATATTAGGAACTACACTTGACCTTCTTCCAAATTCAATAGTCTTCATTAACTAAGGTATCACAGCTGAGGATACATAGTTACAGGTTTTTGTTTTGCCCTAGAAGGATGTTCTTTACAAGGATTTTTTGTTCTTCATTGACCACTGCGGACTCTTAATCAGGAACAGTATAAAGATCTCATCTGTCTGGATCCTCTGCTATTAACCCCTTAGTAGCTAATTGTTACTACCCATACTAATCCCAAAACCCTCGATCAAAAAAAAATTGTAGTATCCCAGATTTTTAATCACCACTGAATAGAGTACACAAACTGTGCCATGGACAAAAGAACAAGAGACTCTAAATTTGTTAGGAAAGTATAATTGTGAAAACTGTAATAGGATATGACTTTTTATCTCTTACAACAGTAGTAAAACAGGGAGTAGATGTTACCATTCTAATTTTACATATTATTGAATCAGTATTGAGCTACTTTGAGCAATAGAGATAGCAATTCATTTGGCAATAAAAATCAGCAAATATTTATGTGATGACCACAACACTCAGTGTCAGATAAAGTTACTTGGCTTATCTGAAGAGTTGATCTCCCTGCTCCCTTAAATTCCAAGCCCTCCTCATAGCACTTCAAAGTAAACTTCAATCAACTTCAAAATAAACTGATACTTAAAAAGTAGCAGTGATCTGTAAGTAATTTCTGTCCATTGATCAAGTTTGAAGTCGTCACATAATATTCTACTCATCTACTACATACTAACTTGAAAAACATTGACCTATAAGGCTTCACAGGTCTGCCATACCTAATATTCAAAATTTTATGTTCTGGACAGGAAGGTATTATGGTAGATTAAAAAGCTATAGAGCAGAACAGCAGGCTGAACACTACAGCCAATTGTTAAAAAGACTACACAAGATTCTTACCCATTTTGTGCAAGGTCAATCAGCACTAAGTCCTTTTCTAGGAGAACAACTACAGCATATGGTTCTTGAAAGTCTGAAAATAAGAAAGAAAAAAAGGTACTTAACCAATAGACACAGTTCTTGCATGCACAGTCTCAAGAATGTGATCAGTCCTCTATCAACTCTATCAAGTTGAGAGCCAAAAGGCCCCTTGGATGACTATAGTTTTCTTAAGATATTTTATACACTCACCCCCACCCCACCCCCCGCCCTGAATATTTCAAGTTAAGTTTGGGAAAACCATGCTCTCCATTTAATTCAATATTCTCAACCCATTTCCAATTTGCTAGAGCCATTTAAACAGCTCAAACAACAAGGAACATGCAAAGAACTGGAATAAACAGTATTTTTGAGAACAACCTAATTACGGAACAATAACATTCTCCCACCCTAAAACTGCTTTTCCTCATACTCAGTGGAGTTTAAAGTGTAATTGCTTACAAACCAGATTGAAAGACAGCCTGACACTAAAATAAGAAAACTGAAAGCCTTTCCACAGTTTATCATGCCCTCAAATTCTGAGCTAAGCAGTTTTATACACTCTGATGGAAGGTGACAGGTAAAAACACTTGAGCCATTGGTAATATAAAACTATTAATATGGGACAAATGCCTAAAACCATCATAAAAAAAATCCCCTTCTGCAGAAGGGAGATTACAGATTAGTGATGACCTGCATGTGAGTATTGGAATGAATAAAGTCATTAAAGTTAAAAGTATTACTTGAATGCTAAGATCTAGCATTGAACGGAAAGGTCTGATGTGCTCAGATATCAATAAACTTGGTGCAGTAGCTACAGCTTAAAACTCTAATATTACTTTTTGTCTATACATGGAAAAAACATGCAACCAGTAAGTGGCAAAACAAGTTTTATAATAAACTTTTCTATTATGATGCTTTGGGAAATAAAACATACTTCAGACAATTGGGATTAACAGATGTTGCTACTGCAGTCTGATTGCCAGAGGTAAAGCAGGAAGGCAATAGTAAAAAATACTCCGATGGGATACAACTCTAGAGAGAAGAGGTCAAAGTACTGAGGAAAAGAAATAAATCTTGACAGAGCCTACCATTAGGATACGGTGTTTCACAGAGGGTTAGAAAATCAACAATAGAATAATCCATTTCTAGCACAGCAGTACTTTTTCCGTGCATAACTGTTAAACAGGGTCTTCTTCCTACAGTGTCATACGACAAGCCTCCTGAGAGAATGATGAAAGGCTCCCTGGAATAAAGCAGAGACATGTGGATCAAGCCAAGATGATAATGTTAAAAGACACTGGGCACTTTTGTAGCCATATAATAAAGTTCAATGAGATATCATTAAGCAGAGATACATTAAGAATAATGCATACCAGCTCTCCATGCAATTGGGTTATCTGTTTCAAAGTTTAAAAAACAAGAATTAGAAGACTGTGACTTAAGTCAGACATCTTTTCCAAACCTCTTTCGGTATCGCTTATTTAACAATCTTTGCAACTGTTTGCTAAGATGAGACTGTTTTTTTATTTTGTTAAACTTCAGAATTGTTTCTTTCTACTAAACTGCAGATTTGGATTTGCCAACAGCTCTGTTTATCCATACTATATAATATTCCAGCAGGATCAAGTACTTTTACTTCCTGTACAGAATTACCCTAAATTTTGAAGGATGAACAATTTTTCAAACCCTGTAAAGCAATTTTGCAGCCACAATAACCTTACTGTCTTGGAGAAGCAACCAGCTGCTTGATAAACTACAACAATCTAATATGTTTTAATAAAGTAAGGACACAAATAAATACCCACAGTTCTTTCATCACACATTTACTCTAGACATTTTATTAATTTTACTCCCTACTACAATGCACAAAATTCAAGAAACTACTATGTCATGGACTTCTACTGCATAATTAAATGCCTTGAGTATAGCAAAACTATTTCTTTTAGGCTTGAAAAAGAGATTAGAGGCTTCCCTTCAAAAGTTTAAGTCTTTACAGAAAGATTTTTAAATACATCCACAATTTCTCCAATACGCACGTAACACACAGTTTAGTATTTCATTTCCTGAAAAGCAAGATGAAATCAATCCATTTGTTTTACTGCTGTCTTGGTTTCAGCTGGGATGGAGTTAATTTTCTTCCTAGTAGCTGGTGCAGTGCTGTGGCTTAGCTTTAGTCTGAGAACAACGCTGGTAACACACTAACTTTTTAGCTGTTGCTCAGTCGCACTTACCCTGATCAAGGACTTTCCAGTCTCTCGTACTCTGCCATTGAGGAGGGACACAAGAAGCACTCTGGGGGAGCAGACAGGGTACCTGACCCAAACTAGCCAAAGGGTTATTCCATACCACAGCACATAGTGCCCAGTATATAAACTGGGAGGGGTAGTTACCCAGAAAGCGCTAAGTAGTAGTAATAGTAGTATTACACTGTACTTTTGTTATTAAGCTGCTCTTATCTCCAAGCTTGTGGGTTTTATATTCTGTTGATTCTCCTCCCTATCCCACCCAGAGTGGGCAAGGTGGGGGTGAGCAAATGGCTGCACGGTACCGAGTTACCGGCTGGATTGAAACCATGACAACTAGGTATTTTCTTTATTATCAAAAGTCATTACTCATTTTAATACTTTTTATGTTTAAAATAGGGCATAATACCTTTTAATGCGCAGGCCTACTGTTCATAAGCACACATCTCAATTTCTTGAGCTATTATTGACTATTGCCTCAAATTTCAGATTTTGTTTCTGGAGAAAAAATATGCACTTAGCCCATGAAATTCCTCTGATCTACTCTTATGATCACTTTAGGTAGGAAACCTACCCTTTCTGTGTCTACCTCAGAAGCAGCCAGCATATTACTATCTGGAAAAAATTTGTAGGTAAAACTGACATCCTGGAATATTGTGAAAAAGAGGCTAAAGATATCTTTTATTTTTTGTCCTTTCCTATAACATCATATTTCCTATAGTAGTTTTGCATTTGAAATAGGAATGTGAAAGACTAGGTACATCTTTTTTCTTGAAAGCTCTGTATGGATGCTCTAGTTTATGCATATGTGCCTTTCATTATTTTCAGGCTTGCCTTAAGCATGCTCTGTTTTCAGCACTGAAGACAAAACAGACTAAGATAAGCTCTTATTTTCTACAATTATTTCACAATCTGCCTGATCCTTTAGAAAGCCTTGTAACTGAGGAGTTGATAGGGTCAGAGTTCTGCTGGCTGAGGAAGAGACCCCACAGAACAGCCGTAATTAGACCATGGCTCCACCGAGTTCAATATCCTGCCTCCAAGAGTAGCCAAAAGTACATTTCTAGAAAAGAATTCAGTTTCCTCCAAGTTTATTTAGTATCAATTCTTCATATTGGAACTTCAGACAATCTTTTATGGTCAGGTCCATGATGCAATTCCAAAAAAAGGACGAACTTTAATTTAACCGGATATTTTTCTAGATGTCAACAAAGAGGAAAATACTGGTGTGATGTACTTACAGTATCTTATTGTGCTGAAATGATTTATTGCAGTAGTTTTTGTCTACACAAAACCACTTTTTTTTTTCTTTTTAACAATAATGCTGCCAGGACAAGTTGCAGTAATTATTTGGCTTGTGGGTTCACAACGATCAACTGACAATAATAACAAAGTGACAGTTTCCAAGCGTCATACATCACAGTAAAAACCACTTTTCCTGGTTTTATTTCTCAAGGTAATCAGATTGCTTTGGGCAGGCTAGCCAGAGCCTGTATTCTTATGAAGCAAAGAATGGAAGACCTAAGAAAAGATTACACGGATCTGTCACATGGATTTTTCACAAAGGGATCAAAGATTAAAGCTGACTTTAGTTTGCCAGAAAGACTAATACAGGGTCTGTATAGGAACTTTTCATATTTTAGTGAAACTGGGTTTACCATGAACACAAGATGTGTGTTTTCTGCTTAAAGTGTTGTCCCTCAGTTGTGATACATATTAAAAGGTTAGCACCTTTTAGCACACACAAATTTTACGTAGAAATGCATAATTTAACAGAAAAATTGAAAGTATTGTACTTTATGTAATAGATGAGATAGGTAAAATTAACTCCCCAAGCTCGATCAATATGAAACAATGGGAAACCTTTAACAAAAAGCAGTGCTCAACTCTTAGAGAATTCCTATGTAGCATTTTTAACAGCAGCTAATACAGAGATTCTTCTTCGAAACAGTTCTGCTTCAGCAGGTTTTGAAGTGATCCCTTTACACTAATTTTCTCATTAGTTAAATCTGTAAGATCACTTGGGAAACACCGTAAAATATTCAGTAAAAATCAGAAAACACAGGATTAGGTCTTGCAGTGCATGAAAATGAAATAAAAATGAGAGTTGGGTGGCTTATAATCCTGTAGGATGTTCTTGCTCAATTTCAGACATAAATCGTTAAATGTCAGCCAGTTTCTGGCAACCTAGATGTGAGGGCAAAGAGTATACACAGAAGTCAGGCCTCTGGTACCAGCCAGCTTCCTTTTCAAGCCACAGGTGGATCTGCCAAGATCTTAATGCCTAGTAATACAGGTGAAAAATACTTCCAAGAGTTAGTATAGCTTAAACAGGAAATTCTTGAAGTACTAGTGAAGATAAATTACAAATTCATTTTGGGAAGAGTGCTTTTGAATAAAATACAATAAAATAGTATATTCAAACCAAATTAACAGATCAAGAAATTTTACTTATCTGAAGACCTCATTATTATTATAACCTCTAGGCCCCAATTATATACATCCATCTTTCTGAGGTACTGCTCTACAGTTAGTCAATGACAGCTGCATTAGCTAACAATAACCTTTTGCTATGTTTCACAGGGAGACTTTTGAGCTGCAATTTCTATTACACAGAGCTTTACTGGTGAAGAATAAGCTTAGGCAATTTTACCATAATGCTAATATCAATCAGAATAAATACTGCAGGAACTGAATCTGGAGGGGCAGGAAATGGCTTTAGGAAGCTCAAGAGCTTCTCTCTAGATTCACTTTAGAGAGAAAAGTATGCTTAAAAGGCAACATGGAAACCATTTCAGCAAGCCCAAAGAGTAATCTATCTTTGCAACTCATCACTTCAAAAGACCTGGAGTACTCTAAATGAAGAAAAAAAATAAAAAAAAAAATTGGAGAGCAATGGCATTCTCTGGGATTGGAAAATTATGCCACTTTTCACAAGAAATATATGAAGAAACTTGCCTTTTTGACTCCCTAGCCTGGGTACAGGATGACTGTCAATAACCTTTCTATATGTTTTTCCCAGAAACAAAGCTACAGACATACTATTGTTGAGGGTAAACAACTTTGTCTTTGGAAACTTCACAGGCACTATCTGCAGCAGATTTAAGCATAAACACCCAACGACAGAAAACCTACAAGCTTAAAAGATAAATAGGTAATCTGTAAGAACCAGAAAAAAACTTCTTGCCTTGTTTCCACAACTCCAGCTTCATAGTGTGAAAAGCAAGGGGTGTAAAAAGAGACCACAATAGGAAAAAGTACTCTCCAAAGTGCTATGCATTCTTCGAAATTACACTAGAGTAAGCTCCTATTTGAACTGCATGAAAAGTCAGTTAGTTTCCACATTGTAATATAACTGCATAGAACAAACTTCAAACTCATCTTCTCCTTTGGAGTGACTATTCATAAACAGAAGGCTTTTGATTGCAGAACTTGTAACTTGTTGAAGCTGAGGCTACTTTTGGTTATCTGTATCTTTCTTTAGATCAGCTTTTAACATTTCACTTGAGAAAGGAATACACAGATGTAGACTGCTGAAAGGAAAATATGGCTTGCCAACTGATCATACATGTTCATACACTGGGAATTAGCCCCCATCTTAAATTCCTTTTCACCTCACTTTTAGCAAAAAAAAACAAACACAAAGACACTGCTACTATATGTATGTGTATACCAATATTTATAGTAAGATCTATTACATCAATTAAGTAACAATCTTCTACAAATCTGAATGCCTGGAAAGCAAATGAAATCAATGCATAACACACAACACCACCACCCTCAAATAAAACAAAAATCCCAACAAAAACATTTGCAAGTAGCTGAACAGGTATCCATGAATACTTTATGTTGCACTTTTTACTCAAACGCTTTAAAAGACTTTAGAACCATAAATAAAGTTCCACTCAGTTCATGAAATCCTGCAATCCTAATTGCAGTCTTGGTAACAAAACATGCTACTCAAGATACTGTAATTCCATCTGAGCCTCTTGTTGAAATTACTGCTTTGTAACATTCTCAGTGTGCATAATTAGGCAAAATTCACAGCATAAATTACTGCACTTTACCAGAAGAGCTTGTCAGTAGCATTTCTGGGGGAGGAACACGTATTCAGAACTTAGAATATTCGCATCAGGCTACTATTTGCCTAAGATCAGCTTTTCAGGCCTGTGCTTTCGCTTCTTCTTGCTTTATCAGCCTTTTTCTCTGTAGTATGCTCAACGGATTGAACAAAAATACACATTTAGTTGCATGGAGAAAGCACGTAGATTATGCATTAGTAGTATCTTTACCTAAGATAAGGTTTGTAGGAAGTCATTTGTTTACATGAGGTTTTGTAGTTTACTCAGCAATACCTGCTTTACCAAAATTTTTCAGCTATGTTTTGTCATAGCTCAGTGCCATCAGAATATGTACCCCAACAACTGGAAAACAAAGTGCATTCCCAGGGAGCTACATTTATTTTACGTACATTAATTTTAGATGCAAAACAACTCTTACCCAGCTCTAGTTGTTTTATATTCCACCTTAAGGATAGGTTTACAGGGTTCTGGCTTCTTTCCATCCTTCAGCTGCTTTCCTAAAGTGAATTATTTGCTTACATTAACCTTACAGTTCCATAATCTGATGAAGAATTATGAAAACCACTATGCAATTTGCAAAGTAGAACACTCATACAGACATATATTTAACATCTTTGAAAACTACAGTTTACCTTGGAACAATACCATTAAAGATTGTTAAAATTCTCAGTATACCAACTTAGAAAACTGGTCAGCTTAAAAGTAAAATAAGGTTTATTCTGAGTGTTTTCCTTGGGGGCTGAGATTTGAACATGGACCACTCCTTTACTGTGCACCATTAGCAACTAAAGCTTTACAGATACAATTTCCCACGCAGTCAACAGAAATTAAGAGTATAGTGTAAATATGCATCTTTTCCCTCTGAACACTGATGAAGTCTGATACAGCTACAAAGTTCTGCACAAAAAAGTTCATTTACAGCCCAAAATCAAAATCGTTTACTAAGAGGCCAAAACAATATAAACGTTAGTCTTCTCTAACCAATTTTACAACTGCAGTAGCAGTCAGGTTTTTATTTTTTGACTGCTACAGCATCATGTAGAAATGCTCAGCTTCCTTTTTTCCCCCTAGACCCCAGCCAGCACAGTAAACATGGACTTGCTGAAGGCTCATATAGGTAAACCAGGCTTCTTAAATTCAGTATCTCATGCTACAACTGTAACTTCACAGATTATGCTGTTACATACACTTCAGAATCTGAGGTAAATAAGTTGCTAAAACATGACTTAGACATATGCACACCATATAAAACCTGGCATTTATATAGAACTTTTTGAATAGTGGCAGCATATTTCACAGAAGAACAACATGTAAAGTTAATTTCCTAGATTAACATTAACTCAAGACTCCTCAGAAATGGGAATATTTTACCAGATGCTAGTCTTACTCTATTACAAACCTTTCCAAGAATTTATATGGTAATCTACACATTTATACATGAAACAGATGCTTGCTTATATGTATTTTAAACAACATATGGGATTGTAATGGCAAGCAAAATGTAAGCCCTGCAAAACAAGCAACAGCTAATTTTGAGATCGATGCTGTTGTGTGAAAGGTGAGCTTAAAGTTTAGCACTTTAGACAGAATTGCAGTGATTTGGATTCTTATTTGATACTTTTTTAATGAAATCTATCAGAATTTGATATGACTTTTTTTTTAGTTGCACTTGCATTTTTAATACTTGGTTTTGCAAGAAGTACTTCTTTTAAAAATAAGTTCCCTGTGTTTTGAGGGTTGTCAAACATTTTCATCTTACCATGTGGAGTGATTGTCTGGAATGGCTTTGTAGGAGATTTTACATTCCATATTGTCAAGGTACCATCTGAATGACTGCAAATGAATTGTTTTCCTTCATGATGCCAAGCCACAGAGTGGATTGCCTACGAAAGAAAAATTTTAAAACAGAAGAGTATAAATTCAGTAGCTTAGTATAATTTTATCCTTATTCAGTGACATGTGACAGCAAAAGGAAATTAGAGAAAGTACTAATTAAATCATGCCGCATTTAGAATGTCCCAATTTACCCATGGTAAGTTTTCCATTCTGAAGTACTTCTTTCAGACATACTTTATTCATCTAAAATGCTGTCTTCATTGTAGTTATGTTTGACATGTTTAAGGGGAGGGGGAAAGATACTCCTCAGAGGGTAGTATTAAAGTATTTTTCAGTAATTGGTAGCATGCAGAGAGTATCTGAAAGCACTTGAACTTTGCCAGCCAACATTTTTTTTATTATTGGGAAAAACAGGCTGTCCATAATAATCCTATCAATACTTATTTTTTGTAAGTCAAAGTTTTAAATGGCATTTCAAGATATCTGTGCAGATATGCACAAGAGGCAAGCAGGGGCTGAGAACATCAGTAAAATGACAGTTGAAGCAACAGTAAGATTTTGGAAATTACAATGAATTATGATGATCACAAAAACAAAACATTAGCTTGAATAAGCATTCTAATGTTGCAGTGGTAGTTTTAAGGTATAAGAAAGCATAGGAATCTACTAGTATATCTTTTCATGAATACAGAAGCATTTTTACATTCATAAAATTGGGACTGGAGTGATTAAGCCATGTCACATGAATTCTCATTGCAGAAAAAAGCTAACTAAATGAAATCTACTTGTTGCCTTAAGGTGAGGGAAAAGTAAACAACAAAGCAAAGAGTACAAATAAGGCAAAGAGATGAACTAGTAAGAAAAGTTTGGTGCCATTTCTGTTTCCAGCATCTGCATTAGTACACAGAGACATCATGAAACCATTAGATGATGTTCAAAGGAATTTTAGTTATAGGATTAAAATATCAATAAGCAAAAATATAAAATATCAAAACCCCAAAGTACCTCTCTAATACCCAAAAGATGCAGAAGGAAGTATTACCTGCTGGAAGTATGGAACTGTGATATCAGTGCGAAGGTAGGTCTGCCTCATGATAAAGACATAACTAGGTAAACTTAAAGCAAGAACTTAATGTGTGAAAGCTTATGGGCTGTACGGGCTGTACAATGCCATCTTTTCAGTGGGTACCCTCAGCTGAGATTCTATCTGTAAGCAGGGTTTAGACTCACTCCAGTAAGTCAGGTACCTAAGGGTTGAGTAGTAGGGAATCTTAACTAGCAGTGAAAGCTTAGGCAGCACCCCTAGATGAAAAGCAAATCACACAAGACAGATCTAAGCTAGCTTTGCCTAAACTGATTATACACAGATCAGATCCTCACATTTCATAAAATTACACAGAAAATCCAGACAGTTTCCAGTAATATGATTGGAAGAATCCAGAGATTAAATGCCAGATAGAGGAAAATGACTACACAACATAAATTCAGACTCTCCAGTAGTAACTTTTCCAACTTAAAGTAGTAGAAGAGCTATCTATAAACTACAGATCAACTAAATTTTGTATTTCTTAGTGAATTTTAGTCTTGTTCCCTATGTAGTGTGGCATCACTACAGAATTTATTAGGATACTGATTCAGTGTACCAATATTCAATCTACACATATGTAGTTCAGAAACCTATACACTCACATGAAGTCTCAGAAACCTAAACACTCACATGAAGTCTCCTAGAGTCAAAGTGAAATAGACTTGCTCATCCTGCCTGTAAAATTAATTTTTATTTAGCAAATATAAGCACATAATATGAAAGATTTTTTGCATAAATATTGGAAATTCAGTGTTATTTACCAACGCAGTACCAAGCAAATCCAGGAATCAGTAAGCTTGAAAGCACAAAATTGGTAAAGCACAGGTTGCATTTCTAAAATCTACTTTCACTAAGAGAAGAAATTATCTATACTATTATGAGCAATACAATGTAACAAGTATGTTTTAAATACTCTCCCATGTGGAGACTAACCCTGACAATAATAAGCAGCTCATAGTGTAAATGGAACCATTTTTGATACACGTTTATATAAAAATGGGTCTTAAGAACCAAGAAGAAGGCAAGTTTCACAGAATGACGGGTAAATTGGAAAAAGGAACACTATCTTTTTCTTGAAAAATCAGGTCAAGAGGAAGGAAACCCAAAACCCCATGTTGAAACATCATTAATGCTTAAGAACATAAAAAGATCTGACAACTGAGCACAAAGGAGAAGGATGACTGCTATCACCTTCTGCAAGGAACCTGATGGGATGGAAAGAATGCTGAAAGAGAATAATAAGGCCTCTGGATTTATGGCTATTTATTGTCTAGTTTTATAGAGCATCTGGCTATGTTTAGCAATGCAGTTAAATATTATTTAAAGCATAACAAAAATAAATTTTATGTATTTTTAAAATAATCCAACTAACAATTCTGTGGGTTGAGTATGGTAATCTTTGGTGCAGAGCACTATCTTTAGCTACTACACACTTCATATCTTTTTATAAGGTTCAAAAATAAAGCCAAACCTGTAAGTCTGTAGAATAATCTCCAGTTTTACAACAGGCTAGCATATTTACAATGACAATTCAGTTACAACAAAAAAGTACAATAAGTTTAGGTGGCACTAGCTGGTCAGTATCGATAGCCTCAATCAGCAAAACAAAACTGGTAACTGAAAAATCACTGCAATACTCGAGAGCAAAAGTTTGGACATTTTTTCTGTGATTAATATTAGTGCTAGAATACAAAGGAAAGCACAACATCCAAGATAGAAAAATCAGGCAGAATCCACTGAGGCTGCAAATCTATATATAGCTTCTTCAACATTACAAAGCCCCTAGGAGTAATATATTTTCCAGTATTTTACAGAAAACTTACTGGTCAAGAATAAAACTTGCAGAGTTTTAACGATAGTTCTCACTTTGTTTTAAAACTTCACCTGGTACCCTTTTGGTACAATAACGCAGCAGTATGCTTAAATCATCTGGAGCCAATTCAACTGTATCTCAAATATTTTTATGGAATATACCACTGGTCATATGGATCCCAGAGAGACAATAATTCCCCATTACAAGATCATGGACCAGTACCACAGAGGAACGTTGCTGTTTTTAAGGCACAAGGCATTTATATCCTTAAGAAGAGTTGTCTGCACAGGTAATTCAACTCATGACCTCATTAACATTCCAAATCTTCCATTTATAAACATACACTGAATCCAGGGCATCTTTACAGGATCTTACACAGAAAATTCTTTATTAAAAACACCCCAACTTTACGCTTACTTAAATATAACTAAAGGTTTCTTATCAAGGGTATTCCTACTATCCCCTTCACTGTGATTCAAAGGTAGCTGTTCTGGAATATTTTCAAAACTTTTGAGACAGTTATGTATTTTCTAGGGGAAGGGCGGGGGTGTCAAGTCTTTTTTAAATAACAAATCCAGCATGATTGACTGTGCTATCCTGCTTAAGCCAAAGCTTAACCAGAAACATAGAAACTAACTACCCTAGAGAGTATTATGTGGAGACAAGCTGTGCACAAAGGAAGCCTCACTTTCACCAGCTGTTCCAGAAGGATTATCCTGTGTGGAAAAGTGACTGTCACACTGCATGCAAAGAAGGTGAACCCATCTGATTTTCAGAAGGAAATCTTGCAATGACTGCAACAGTTACCCGACGGAGACTGTAGGACTCCCTCACAATCACAAGTGAAGTGCAATCACAAATAAGAAACCTGAAGTCTGAGGAACAAAGTTAAAAGCATTTATATGCAGGTCTCCAGCAGAAATATCTTAAGTAGATCACTTGCTTTTAAAGAGATTAATGCACATTTACAACACTTTATGCAATTCAGTTTCACACCTGCAGCAGCTTGTCAATATGCCTAGAAATCACTATTATTTCTTGGTTCTTTGAAGAGGTACAAAAATCAGTAACTCTAAATACAACCTTACAATTTAATAGACAAGCTCATTAATAAAGACTCAAGTTTTGAGACTATTTTTCCCCACCAAGGGGATTTAACTGTTTCAATTAATGAAACAGCATATACATAAAATCCCTTTTCTTTCAATTTCTACAGACTTATTTTAGACTACTGCCAATACAGTTGCTACAACTCGGGGAAAAAAAAAAAAAAAAATCTATGTAAACTGGTTTGAGTTTTTTTTGTTTGCTTTGTTTTAAGTAATATGCACCTCCTCGCTTGCTTTTCAAGTGTAACACAATCTTTGGCAAAATGTTTCTGTACACTTTCCCACAGGAATGCACCACAATCATGGAAAATTCCCTTTATCAGTCTTTGGATTTGACAACAACCCTTTTCTCTTTTGTGCCATTAAGTGAACTTAAAGTATACTGTGCATGACTGGTAAGGTCCATGGTAAGAGATCAGTTATTCTGCAAACCACTGTTTACCGTAGCCTATTCAGATTTCACTATCTTATTATTATAGTCCTTCATTTCAATAGACAAAAGAAGTATTTTCTGGTGAACTTAAAAACAGCTGATGACACTCCTTTTCTGCAGGTTTACTAACATATTCAAAGCATGGATAGTAACTTGTGAGTACCTGTGCTAACTCTCTTGTCAATAGCCCAAGAAAGAAAGGGAAACAAATGCTGTAAAAGAAAAAGAATATAGCTACTGAGATTTAAACGGCAATATATCATGAAGATTGTTTTGATGCTATGAAATGGGCAAGTGCCTAATGAGTGCATCAACATGCTTCAGTTCCTGGCAAGTCACATATCAGCATTGCCTTTTTTTTTTTATTTGCTCTCTTCCTCTTAATCCCACAGGCTACTTTGACATGTTTTTAATGCTTTAAAATAATCCCTTATACTCAGCTGTGTACCAGAACATTGTGCCTAAAAATAGTCATCTATAATACATTTGCTGAGTTAATGCTACCAAAGCTTCCTTTAAATTGGAACAAAGTAATACTTGAAGAATGGACTGTACTTAAAAAAGCAGATCTAGTTTTCAGAAGTTGCACTTCAATTTTTTAGAGGAAAAAAACCACAACAAACCACCAAACAGTTGTTTAGTTTTTTTCCTCTCATGGCTGAAAATATGAGAAATGTTTGCTGCATAAAATGCATTACATATAAGAAATGCATAACTTTCTTAATCACCAATGTTTGAAAAAAAAAGGCTTAAGGCTATGAATAAAGAATTCATTCTGTTTTTCCACTGAGCTCGCCTAAGACAAAAGGGATGTTTTGAGGAAAAGGCTTCAAAGAAACTTTCTAGAGAGAAGTTAATTCACAACTGCAGTTCCATTATGTCACAGAAAATTTCCTCCAATTTCTCTGGAAAAGAATGCTACATTTGTGCATTCTCTTAACTAATTCTAAACATACAACATATCACTGTTGTAATAAAAAGCATACAGTACTGGAAGTTCAAGATCTCACTTGTAATACAGAAAAATCAAGAACAAATTATAATTAAATGCATCTTTTTGACCAAAGTTTTTCAACTCTGAAGTCAATATTACATGTTAAAAGAAAAAAACTAATATTAGTTTCACATGTGGACGAAAAGAAGATAGCAAGGTGAGGTCAAACTTATAATGGACACATATTAGGTTGCTTCTGCCTAGAACTGTCTACTAGTTACTCTTTTCTTGCTCAGAACCTAGGCTACTCATACCTTCCCTGAATCCTGCTCCATTTAGTCAACTTCCCTGGTTTGTGATTTTCCATTCTATTTTAAAATTCTACACAACCGAACTAGCCTGCCACTGAAAATTATTATTTGCTTATATTATACATTTATAGATATTTCATTTTTGGCTAATTATGTGAATTGCCAAGTTACTCAACTACAATGAACACGTTACCTTATTACCATAATTCCAGCAACACCAGTCAGTGTTTTTTACAGTATCAGTTAAGGTGTTACTTGCGTAGGACTCAAAACATTACCCACGTTTCTGCAGTAACATCTTTCAGCAAAATGCTAGTGAGAGTGCTTTTCTGCTAAGGAAGAGGCTCAAAATCCAGCAAAGATTTTATTATTTGGCAGTATTATTTCATTCTTGCAAAATGTAGTGAAAAAAACTCATGTTTCTTCTATGTTTCTTAACATTTACATTCACTTACTTGAATCTCTGCTAGTTGAAAAATCAGCAAAAACAGTGTATTTATATGGGCCACTAACTAACCAGCATTGATTGTAATACAATTAGAAAGATAACATTATAGAGTTGAATTTTAATTCCACTGACAAATCAAGGGAGATTTGCCATTTTTGCAGCTAAATACAAAACAGAGGCACTGGAGGATAAAATAAAATAAAATAAAATAAAACTAAAGCAGCAGTCCCAACTCACTTTGACTCACACTTAAAAGAGGATAAGATACGTGTATATATAGCATATGTGGAATAATCCACTTTCTGCAGCTTCCTATTAATTATCTTTTCTATATCTGACTGTTTCTGGACCAATGGCCTTGAGAGAAGATCCTATTACAGCACTCCACAATGGCACTTCTCGAGAAATGCCATTTTCAATTCTATTAGACTAAATAAATAATTTTATTTCTATGCCATTCAGGCCAGAATCCTGAAGAACTTGAAACTGCCTAACTGTATCAAATCCAAATTTGAAAAATGGGACAGTATTCTATTCTGCCTTCCCCATTAGAAGATTAGATCTAAATAACTTAATCATTGAAGAAGAAATCCCTTGTCATACATTGTTAAATGGGTAAGAACCAACAAATTATTACCGCATCCAGTAATTCTTTTCCCCAAAGATAGATTTTTCTTAAAGGGTAATCTGAACTCACAGAAAAAGCATACTTCAACTTTTAAGACATCAGTGGTCAGTATTTCCTTTTAAGCCATTTTATGCATGTTCTCACCAATGAGAATGAAGAAACTCACCAAGTTCAGTCTACAGGTCTTCACTTTTCTCTTCCTTTCCTATCTATTCCCAATTTATGATAATGAACATTCCTTTACTAAAAGATCTGACAAGAGACCTTACTTCTCCTCCAATAATAAAAAAACCCAAAACAACAACTGAACAACTAGATACATTCATTTATAAATCCTACGGGAAATCAAAGCTGAAACAGCTGAACTGTTCACTGCTGTGTGCAACCTCTCAAATCAGGGCCGGTTCAGAAAGATGACAAGTATGGAGTCAATTTTTAAGCAAAGAGACAACAAAATGTGAAGCAAAACAGAATAAGCAGCATAGTGTCTACCCTGGGTAAGCTTCTAGAAACTGCAATAAAGCTTTAATAAAGAACAGAGTTAGTCTACACAGGGATGAGTATGATATCTCAGGTAGAAGTCAATATGCTTTTTATAAAGGGAAGTTATATCCAACAAACATCTGAAAAATGTTAGCAAGCATGTGGCTAATGGAAACACCAATTAAGTTTTCCACAAGTCTTTCAACATCTCTCAAATGAAACTAAAACCAAACAGATTAAGATCCCTGAACAGATGAATAATTGGTCAAGCTAAAATAAAGACAGACTGGCAGTAATTGATCAGCTCAAGGCAATTGGTAGATACCCACAGGGATCTGTGCTGCTCAGTTTATTAATAAATAACTCAGGAAATAACAGTGGTAAGTCTGCTGACAGTACCAAAGCATATTCAAGGTAGAAATCAGGATTCCAGTGAAGAACTGCAGAAAGACTTGAAATTTTTATTGTCCAACTATCTAAGTGTGAAGCACTGTGTAAGTGCGATGAACTTAGAGCTGACAATTAACACTGAAGAGTGAGGTTCTAGTTTTATAGTAGGCTGTTCTAAGGAAGTATCTCCTTAATGCTTGCCACATCAAAAGGCTGATCCAGTATTAAGATCAAGAGAAAAAAAAAAAAAGTCATTATTCCACATTGTAAATTCAGTGCACCTACATCTTGAATATACTACACTGTAGTTTGTCTTTTATAAAACAAAGATGAAATAGAATGGTTAAGAGCAAGAAAAACATGAGGTATAAGAACTTTAGACTAGATAAGGATGGAGATACAATTAAGTTTATGAAACAAAATGACAGGGGGAATTAGATGCATGCAATGCAACTGGAAGATAGAAAACTGCTCTTTAAATAATATGCTCTGAGGCTTATACAGACATCTGAATAAGCCTCATTCAGCTCAGGCATTCTAACATAGCTCTGATGATCTGAGGCTTAAACCACTTCAGAGACTGTCCCTTCAAAGAAGCTCTTCAATGGTACAGCTAACACACAAGCATGAGTACTGAATCAGAACCACCACAAAACCCACAAAAATCCTGCCTTGTGAAAAAAGTTTAGTACAGAGCTAAGGAAGAAATACCTGCTGTGATACAAGAAACAGGCCTAGCTGGCACCCAACAATAAAACAGACATTTTACAATCAATGAAATATAATTGAGACTAATTTTATGTTATTTCAGATAAAATAAATCAACTTGCATGTGTTGTTGTTTTTTTTTGATCTCAGTCTTTCAAAAAGCCTACATTCTCTCAAGAAATATGCTTCAAAGAAATTAAGTGCCCTTCAATGCAACTTTTTTTAATCTCTCCCACTTTCATTTCAGACCCTGATCTTATTCTACAAGGAAACAGTGTATTTATAGAAATGGCCTAGTGAGACTATTTAGTAGCTTCTTTCCCCCCCAACTTTTCAGAATATGTGAGCGGTTCCAAATGACAGGAATTGCTAAACCGTCTTGTTTCAGCTTAAGACTCAAGCTCTTAATACAGGTGAAAGTCACACTACCCAGTAACAGGAAAAATATCTGAAAGCCAGACCCCCAAACTAGTAAAGAAATCCAATCCATGCCACCATTTATTGCTTTACAAACTTCAGCTCTGTGAGTTGAATTCTTCTTATTCAATCTGAAGCTCCTATTACTCTAACTCTATGGTTCTTTAAGAGAAAGCTTAAAGTACTTGAAATTTCAAAGACATATTTATTAAGCCAATGGTGACAGAAGCAGGAGGAGGAATTCAAACAAAGAAAAACATAGAAAAAAAAAAAAATCACTCTTAGATTGGGCAATTATATTCTCATAATAAGCAATGCAGGTGAAAAATGTTACCTCATCATGTGTGTATCTGTAATCTGCCTTCTTTGACTTCAGGTCCCATAACACCACTGTTCCAGACTCAAAGCCAATTAGAAGCTGCGATAATAAGCATATATATTAAGTCATTATATAATACTACATGTAGTAACTGCCAGTAGTTATAAAGAAAAAACTTAGAAGTGGTGAAAACAACTGACATTCATGCGAAATTAGGAAAGGAAAAAAAAACAAACCACACACACACACACACAAAAAAAAAAAAAAGAGAGAGAATGCATTCTTCTAAAGTGCTCTTGGAAATCCCCTTGAGTTCCAGGAAGTCTAACATAAAACTTAGGTAAGTGCAAGTATATTCCTTCCAGAATGAAAATGGGAGGTGGGGAATAGTGGTGGGAAAGACAACTTTATTGTGCATTTTCCTCATTGGAATTTGTTCTGCTTAGATGTTCTGGAAGAACACACTATGCTTCCCAAAGTTCTACGTAATAGTTCATTGCCTATAAAGGAGCTATGTAATATAAGCTTTCTCCAGATGTTAATCACAGTTGAGATAACTAAGGTTCTTGGTGTTCCTTTAGCTAGTTAAAAGGAGGAAAGCTAGAGAGAAATTAAATAAGATAATTTTCCAAATAATCTTTCTGCTAGAAGCAAGATTAAACCATTTCTGTAGGGAGTCAAGATTCAAACTGCTCATAATAATTGGTCTCAGACATTCCTGAGTATCTAAATTTGCTCTCCTACCTTAAGTGACACTTCTCTTAATGAAAACAAAACAAGGCCAACATAAGGTAGTAGTAACAGCACTGGCACTTGTTACATAGAAAGTGGCAATGCAGCTTCATCTCTCATAGCTGCTGGATCTACTGTGAGAGCTTTTCTTTCAGCAAAGCTGCTACAGGAGAAGCAGCTCTTAGCATTAAGCAGCATGACTTCATTCCCACTTCTTTTTTTCCCAGTATGGACAATAAAGAGGAGCAGCTGGATTCTGGGATTTACTTGCTGCTGAAACTGCCTATTTCCCATGAGAAAACAGAACTGTGCTGAGGAGTGTCCTCCATATTACAAGTTAGAAAACATTCTCTTCACACACATGGCACTGTAGTCAAACCTAGAGCTGTACCTAGACATTCTGCCCGGACAATCTTTTCAGCATATTAAATTTTTCAAAGAGTACAGTTATTTCCAGTATGAGATATAACACATGGCCATCTTAGAGATACTATATTTGGTCTATTTCAATGCTCTACAGCTACATCTACTAAAATACCCTAAAGATATTAGACATTTGATCTAGTCAAAGTGAAAGTTGGATTTTTTCCTCACTACAGTGTCATATATACTATTATTTTAAATTATTTTATCATAAGCCATATTTTATAATTCTTCTATTTAAACTTTAAACAGTAGAAATATCATGGTCACTGGAAGGCTAATAGCATGAACAAATTTTAAGAGTGAGTACACAGGACGCTCTTGCAACTGAACTTTTTTTTTTTCAGCAATGACTTATGAGAAACGAGATGAACGTAAGGTCAGATTCTAAAACACTGGCTAACAGACTGACTGATAAACCCAGTAATTCTTAAAGTTTAATTGACAATAATTTTGTATGGAGTGAGGGTGGAATACACCAGAATAAATTGATCATTTGCCTTCTCAAATTACCATAGCTTCATTGCATTCATACCCTAGGGTCTCTGATTCTGGAATGTGATTCAAACCCAGTTCTACAGAGAAAACCATTAGTTATGCACTTACACCACCGAGTTTCATCCCAAAGAAAAAACTACTCCTGAAATTTTCCTTGTTCGACTGAAACTTCAGGTGTCTAGGATACAGCCTTATAACCAGCATGCTATTAAAACATTCAAAGCTCTACTGAGATAATAGTATCATTCCCTCTCCAATTTTACCCCCTACTAAAATGGAGGAGCTTTTCACTAAATGAAAAGAAAACAAACAAACAAAATTCTCCTGTGTATGTGGAACAATAGTAAACAAAATTATTTTCTCTCTCCTTGAAGATTCTTCACAAGTGGGACTTCAAAACCCCAGGGTATTTCTGAGAAGCTGCACTGACCAAAAAAATCCTCTCAATTTAATTCAACCACTTATGCCCGATTAATCTAAAGTAGAGTCATTAATGAGAATCAGTTTAAAGTGGTATCAAGGTCTCTCTGTTTAAGTTATAAGCATACTTTTGTTAGGAGTCTGTACACTTTTGGGAAACATACATCTAAGGCTGCTGTTTTCAGATCCTTCCTTTGTATTTTGCTCTACTCCTACTGTCAAAATTAAGGAACACCCCTTCTGCTTACACGTCAATGTGGACCATGGGATGTGAAGAAAAGTAGACCCCACAAGAAACACCCATGAGCATTTTAAAGTTTATATAATTCCCATCAAACTATTTTTGCACTCAGGTTATGACTGTTTTTTGATAACATCTTAATTTTTACCATAAAGTTCCTTAATTTTGTTTTCATTAATTTCTGCAATTAAGCACTTTCACCTGTGTTTTCAAATGTTTCTGGTTACAAGATGAATTCAATTATTCTATCACTGTGTCCTACAGTCATGTCTGTACCTTGTTGCATATTTTCAGAGCTTAAAAACTTGATTTAGCCTTTATATTTTCAACATTGTCCTCACCTACTTAATCCTTCCTTAAAAAGCACTGGTATGTATACTTCAAAGAGAAACTCTTGCTTGAAAAATGTACTGAATAGTATTTAAGCACATCCTACCTTTCCTTCATCCATTGGATTGTCACTAATGTGCACAATAGGTCCTGGGTGAGATTTGGATGACCTAAACAAGAAATATTTCCATTTAATAGAATTAAAATAAATTAAAAAACAAACAAACAAAACCCAACACCAAAATGAAAACCAAAACAACATTCCACTGCCAAAAACTTCATCTCATAGTAATGGCAAGTAATACATATGCTGTAGATATCGACTCCATCTAAAGAAGTTATTGACATTTCACCATGGAGTCACTTTTATCTTCAAGCCCATAAATACTTCCTTAGTTCCTGGCTTTTTTTTTAATAAGAAGGAAAGACTTATTTACCACTTATTTACAACACAGAACAAAACTGCCATTAGCTTTACAATATCTAAATGTCTGTTGTTACAGAATTGACACAGCTGGATAAAGTATTTTTTTTTAATGCTGAAAACCAAGTCTTTCCATTATTCAGAAACCGCCTAAACTGTGCATTGTTAACACAGTTAGGACATTATGTTGACTTAGCTATTGAAGAAGATGGACCAAAGAGCTATGTTTGTTTGAACAGCTTTTGGGAACTGATGGAATTCTTGTATGTTTAGAAGATAGACGTAACATTCCAGAAACAAATTAAGAGCACAAGAACAGCAGCACACAAGTATATATTTTCTCCCATGAACCACTGTATTTGCACACGCAATTACTAAAAAAGGAGGAGCAATGACAATAGCTGTAAAATATACTTTGCTGTTGGAACAGGTCTATTTAAATTTAATTTTCAGCACGCAATTTTATATTCTGAGTGATCCAGCCCTCTTACAATGTGTATTTCTATATCTTGCTCTTTAACCCCAAAAACGTAGTAGTGACATGGTTGCCCAAGTACCAGTCACATCATATTTTAACATACATTGTTTTTCCAGTTCTTTATCACCACAGAATTATTTTTTGTCTATTTTTATATCTATTCCAGTCACCATGATAAAATAGTGTTATGGGCAGAAACATACATGCTAACATTAAAACTTCATATTTATGAGAATAAAAAGTTTATGTGACTGTTTATGTGTTTTGATCATGTATTTGCTGAAGTGAGACTAAGATTGAGGCCACTCTGGGTAACAATGACATTTCTGCCATTGACGTTAATAACATCTAGGACACTTCTGTTCCCTCCCCTCAACAGACAATGCTTCATTAAACTCACAGTTCAATGGCTTTATTCCACATGATGACATAGCCTGAGAGAGTAAATGATTCCACATTGACAATATGAATGTTTCCTCTTTCGGTGCCCACATACAGCCATTTACTTTGGAAAGGCAGATGACAAAATGTTATCCTAAAAGAGAAGGCCATAAAAAAAAAAAAAAATTAAATAATACTTTTTTAGATATCCTACACTTCAAGGCCTATGTTGCCAAAAGGCAGAAGAAAGGCAATAAGCAAACAGGAAGAAATAAGACAAGCTACAGGTAGAGAAAATTAGCAAAGCCAGTGTGTGACAAAATGAAGAGATACACAGACAATGTAAAAATTCAGAGTAAAACAAAAAATAGAAACCAAGGTATTCTAAATCTAGCAAGCCATTCAGCCACCTTTGAAAATTATCACATTGAACGTGTTTGTGCAAGATTGCTGTCATTTTAAACTTAAAATACAGTACTCCTACGCTATAATCCATAAATGTCCCTTTGAAATCTATCTAATTTCAAGTTTTAAAGAACAAAACATTTTTAAAGTAGCCTAACGCAGATTAAGGTGGTTTCAAGTGAGGAGACAAAGGCAGAAAATAAAGCATAAGAAACATAAGATACGTAAGTATTCCCTAAAAAGTAAACCTAAACCCAATCCTAAACAATTACAAAAATAAAAGTAGCTTAATCTGGGGGCTATTTTACTTAAATAATGTTTTAATATTCTGCCTTAGAGTCTTCTCCTCTTCTAGAAAGAATTACCTGAACAAAATCCAAAAGCCAATAAAGGTTTCTACCACCACAAAAATTCTTTTGACCATATTTACAGTGCAAGTGTTATTTGAAAGCTTGGTTATTACTGTCTTCTTGGGTCCTGCTTATCATTTGCTACTTCTTCAAAATTTATAAGGAAAAAGTGTTGTAGTAACTGAAGTTTTTGAAGTACCTGATTTTTTTAATACAACAGAAACACTAACTAGAAATTAGAGTCTAGAAACTTTCTGGAAACTGTAAACTCCAAACCATTTTAACCTGACAGATTCCAATAATGAAAGAAATTGCCAAACTACTTGTACTATCAAACTTGGGCATTCATAAATGTTGCAGAGATAAAGTAAAATAATTATTCAATGGAAATTGTTCTGTCAGCTTTAATCCTTAGCTTTACAAACTTTTTGTTCTTGTTTTCTCCCAGTTGGGCTCCCTTCTTGCCAAACCCATGCATCATTTCACAAGCCTCTTAGTAAGTATTTATGCAAAGAACAGCTTTAGACCCTCTGCACTCGATGCTGTATATGCGCACTCAAACTCAGCACAAAAGCAAAGGCTTACAGCAGCAATGAAAAAATTGCTAATGGCTGAAAAGATCTTAGCTTATATTACAGGTTTCGAAAGTTAAGGCTTCTGTAGTAATACTACCCGGATTCAAAGTGTGCCACTTTTTATATCATCAATTTCTTTCTAGTTAGGGAATGCAGTTTGTTCAAGCACATATTTGATTTCTCCATTTTCTAAGTTTCTTGACTGATTGTGCTTGAATATTTAAGCCAAAAGGCTGCACCAACATTTTTTATTTATGTTTCACAGAAGAAGTACTATATGCAAGACTTAAAATGCTCTTCCAACTCATTGAACTTACAAAGGTTGTAATATTTTTACTAGGCATACCAATCTGCAAACATTACAGGTTAAAGACTGAAGTGTTCCCAACATCCTGACAAAAATATTTTATTGTAAGCTAAATCACACACTTCCTAGGGAGGCACCAAAACTTTACTGCCCAGTAACAGAACTCTCCCACTATGAGCAGGTAATGGGGATGAGGAAAGGTAACCAGCATGAAAACATAAACCCTCAGTATTCTGCAACACCACAGGGTTTGTTTTTTTTGTGCCAGCACTACATGTGCCAGAAGCAGCTGGCACACAGATCAGCTGGATCTAAAAATGTGTCCTAGCAGCCAGAAATAATATCCAGGAGCAGGGTCATGGGCCTATCCGTCTTGATCTGTGAGTTAATATTGTCAGTTACAGCTGTCCAACACTTTCATTATAAAACCAAAGCTAATCCACTTCATTTAAAGGTGGGTAAAAATATAACTTGGGGCTGCAACTTCAAGTACTATGGCAAAAGGGTAATATTTTGAGTGCCCAACTCCTCAATGTTCTTTGATACTATTCTTAAATGTGCAGCCATATTCAATTTGCTGTCTCCTCTATGCAAGTGAGATTAATTTTGTCAAGAATGCTCTGTTGAAAATTGGACTGAGGATTAAAGGGATTCAAACTCGTTTTGCAGGAATGGAAACAAAAGGTCAGGGTCTTCTTGGTGGTGAGGCAGTACTTGCTTATTTGACTCTTGGCCAAGGATAGCTTATTTTTCCTCTGAAAAATGCTTTTTTTCTTTCAGGAAAAAAAAAAAGTTTTTTTCTTTCAGAAACCTATTTTTCTGTCACCACAAGATTAGAATAACATACTCCATCCATAACATATTTTAAGATGAACAGAAGTGGAAGCTGCCATATAATGCTCAGGGCATTTTTACAGGTCAGGGATTCTTCCTCTCTCCCTATGCTCATATGGATACATACTTACATGTGGAAAAATAAAATCGTGTCAGGAACAGATCAAAAAGACTACAGCCAACCCATATAAGAAATTTTTTGAATTCTTTCTTGCACACAACCCCCAGCTGGCTGAAAACAATGTATCAGTTAAAGCAGAGCACCATAAGTTTTCTCATGTACTAAACCATTCTGGCCAACTATTATGAAAAATAGACCAGTTTGGTGCATCTAAAGAAAAGAGACAGCCTAGGACTGTTTAAGCCAGTGATCACAGAAAGCGGCCTTCTGCAGGCAGCTCTTTCATGGAGCAACTGATTCCTCATGTAATTGCCAAAGAAACTTCAGCTAGCTCAGTACATATAGCATATTTTGTGGAGTGGACTGAACTTTGAGCAAAATCCAAGTATTGTGCAACAGCCCTATGCCAAGAATTTCACTTCCCCATACCTGTACACACACACACAAAAAAATCCCTTTATAGAAAAAAAAGCAGTGCCTTAAAGAGATTTTTGTGCTTTAATCTGAAATCTACAGTATGATTTTAATACATGGTAACATCAGTGATAAAACGAGGTATTGTTATGCAACAGTCAAAGTAGTTCTAAACTCAAGCTGTACTTTTCCCCAAGCATAAAATCTTCCTCCTCATTGCATACATATTTGCAAAACTACTCCTTTACCTGCTGCCCCCTTCCAAAAATAAAACAAAACCCCAAAACCAAACCAACAACAAAACAATCCCCTAAAATAAAATAAATAAAAAAACACTTTCATTTCTGTGAAATGGATTTGTAAGAGTTCAAGAAAACAAAACAATATACAAAAACCACAGTGGCGCACACAGAGTAGGAAGCACTGATAAAAGAAAAACCCTCACAAATATTACCTGTTCTTACTATAATTAAAATATAATTTGTGCTATTGCGTATGGGAGAGTATTAGCGACAGAAGAGTCTTTAAGAAGCCATATGTAAACCTACAGAAAGGATTTCCTCTTTTAACTGCAGACCATGTGGGTTTTTTCATAAACCAAAGTTAGTTAAAGGAAAAAAAAAAAAAAGACCAAAAAAACCCTACCACCTTAATTGTGGTTGATTCACAACAGTTGTTATAGCAAATGATAGTATTTCCTAGAGGAATTTAATTACAGAAATATCAAAAAAAAATTATTAATGTGCAAGTTGGAAATCAGGCTTTTAAGGGAAATATTTAAGTAAAAATGACAGGCTGTTATCTTGAATGTATTATTATGACAACAAAGCCTAATTTAACCGTTGCCTTTTCTTAGCCTACCGTATTATGAATTATTATATGTTCTTCAGAAATTTTCACTGCTTTAACAAAGGGTGACAAATGCTTTGATGAATGACAAACACTGATGATACATTTATTTTTCAGTCACTAAAACTATTTCTAGAAGCTCAGGCTATCATTATAGGCCTGCAGTTACTGTAATTACACTAGCTATAAAATAAAAATTTTCTAAAAAGAAAAGCATTAAGCTACCAAAGTTGTATGCTGCATACCTCTATATTCAACTTTTCATTCATGGGATAACCACCATGTAAAATCCAGAAGCTGAAAAGTTTAATACTTATGTTAGCCTAGATTCCACATCCATGGTCTCTTATCAAGTCTTCAATGGGCACAATAAGTCAAGAGTGTTAGAATTACATACTAATGGAAGCAAGCAGTGGCTGTGACTTCCTAGACTGCTGCATGGGGTCAATTTCCAGGTCTAGTAACTACAATAAGCTTAAAATACCTACCTGCACACAAAAGGCCTGGAGGGGAAGGTAGCGCATGCAGAGGAAGAATTCCTCTTCAATGCATCAAAAAACTGGCCCCTGAAAGGACCACGTGAATAAATGCGGTATATCACAGAGACTGGAACAGGTACTTCAATTCCATTTATATCCCATAACAACTCTCCAAATACATTCACTTGAAGGGCTGCCTCTAAGGGGAACTGAGAAGTACTTATGCTCAGTATCAGAGCTGTGATGTAGACTAATGGTGTCAACATGGAGTAACAGGGAATCAAAAGTCAAGAACAGAAATAAAGCTGTCACCACTGACGTGATCACTATTAGGTCCATTCAGATAATTTTCGAGAAAAAGGCTCAATTTTAGAGGTTTTGTACACTGCTGCAGGTGTCTGTACTCTTATGATATAACATTCCTAATATATTTCGTGGCTTACATGTTTTCCTTTATGAGGTCACATTTCACCACTCCATTTTAAGATGGCTTTTCGAGCTTCACTTGTACTTGCCTCAGAAAGGGTCTCCACATTTTTATGTACAGACAAGTAGAAATGGGCTTGTAATACAAAAGACTGAAGCACACAAGCATGTTGAAGCAACTGTTTGGAAAACTAAGAAAGTTTTTCAATACTGAAGGAATTCACACCAAATATCCTGAAGATCTGAAGGTCTCTTGCCACTGATAAAATCCCCTGCACTACATCTCCTGTTGGTGTACCAGACATGACTCAAAAAGTAACCAAATCCTTGGCATCAGACGATGCTTGTGTAAGCTGCTCCAACACATGCAGTTAGAGATCAACATTCCATCTGG